TTCCCTCAGATTCCTTGAATTATTTAGTTCTTGGATGAGCGTCTGGTTCCTGTTTCTTGGATGGTTGCTGATTTGCAGAGTATTCGGCAAGATCTTTGAACTGCTAGCATCCGAATACTTTTGAACTGCATTGATGTCCCAAACTGTTTTTTTTGTGCGGGGAGTAGGGGGCAAAGCCTGAGGAGGGCGGCTGCCCACACCCACCAGTCGTCGCACCCCTGGTGATGCGGCGCGCACGGAGCGACCTGGAGCTCGCCCACCGCGCTCTGCCCGCAGCCCGGCGCCCTCCCGCGTCCACTCGCCCATGCTCTACTTCAATGCCCGCCTCCGCTTCGCCTGCAGCCCGGCGCCGCTCCGCTACCGCGCGGGCCAGCCGCCGCCCTCGCCCGTCGTCGGCGTTGACCTGGTTCTTCTGGATACTGTCTGGCCGGCCCGACGTGGAGAAAAGAGAAGAGAAGGAAAAAAGATGTGCAGCTGACATGTGGGCCCCATGTACTTTTTATAATTTTTTTGCTGACTAGGATGCCACGTCCGCAAAACCGGGCAAAAATATTGCCGAGGGACCTCCGGTGAACGGTTTATGAGAGTTTAGGGACCTCCGATAAAGTGATTTATAAGATCGTTCACAAAATGTATATATCTCTTATATAGTTTATAAACTATAGGAGATATATGTAAATTTTGTGAACAATGTTACTATCACTTTATCGGATGAAGGAATGACCAAAATAAAAGTTATAGATATTGATGAGTTATACAACTTTATTGTTGATGACCTTTTCAGTTGAAATCATTTAGTACTTGAAAATATTGTCTGAAGTTATCATTATTTGAAATTCAAATTCAAATTATAGAAACAAAGTCATATAGCAAAATGATCAAAACAAAAGTTATAGATATTGATGAGTTATACAACTTTGTTGTTGATGACTTTTTCATTTGAAATCATTTAGTATTTGAAAATGTTGTTTGAAGTTGTCATAATTTGAAATTCAAATTCAAATTATTGAAACAAAGTCATACAGCAAAATGACCAAAACAAAAGTTGTTGATCTTGATAAGTTATACAACTTTGTTATTGACATTTTTTTCATTTGAAATCATTTACTACCCTAAAAAATATTTGAATTGAGAGGAAGGAGGCATTATAGACTTCTCGGCGAGGGAGGAGCAAAAGGGCTGGGCCGGCGGCCCGAAGAGGGAGGAGGGGAAGGGGAAGCCGGCCCGTGGAGGAAGAGAGAGGCTGCGGGCTGCGGGCTAATAGTGTATACTTTATACCTTATACCATGGTATTTTGCTGTAATTTTTTTTAGAATATTTGTTATGCAAATTATACGAAGTTATAGAAGAATATATTTTGCTGTTGAGACTTAACAATTAGACTTCATATAATTGTGTTTTATGATGAATTGTAGACTGTTAAGACTTGAGAATTGAACTTGACAAAAGTTTGAAGCTCAGTTTGAGGGGTTTTTGTATTCCGATAAATTTTCGTTACCGTATCCGCGCCGGTTCGTTTTCGCTCTGTTTTCGGTTTCGATAATATTCGTTTCCGTTTTCGTTTTTGGGGTTTCCGATTCCGAAAAAAATATGGAAACGAAAACGATAAAGGTTGTTTCCGTCCGTTTCCGTACCGTTTTCACCCCTACTACCAACAATAAAATATCTTTCTACTGAGGTGTAAGAAAATCATAATTAATAGAATTTATAAATCAATAATTTGAACTATTTCTACCGAATATTGATACTAATATCTCTGTCCCAAAAAGAATTTATTTTTAACCATTCGTACATGTACCAATAGAAAACTGGCCTCCTTTGATTAATAGGAATAATGGAGAAAAAACATATGTACAAGAATTCTATGGGGATTGGTACTATTCGTCCCTTTGAATTGTAGGAATTGAACGGAGAAAAAGCATTGAAAAAAGTTCGACCATGATTTCAACAGAATTCGATAGGAAAATCAACATCAACCTTAGAGCTCATTTTTCTTTTCCTATGCATAGTATCGAGGCAAAGCACCCTTGGAAGATATGGTTTACCCTAGCAAAACCATTCAAATTTTGATTTACTATAAACTTAATACTCAACACATTCCTATGTTTTCCTATGCACCAATCAAATAATCATTCCTATAGTATCTATGTGTTCTCAATTCTCTGTTTTGCATATGATTTTCTATCATATTTCTTTTTTTTATTTGTACATTTTTTGAATCATGTGATTCAAAGGGGCCTAAAAAGACTAGAATGTTATTCACATTATTTTCAAACTTTAATAGATTGATTGCTTTAAACGTAAAGTCTTTCTGGAATATAAAGAATCCAAAAATAAAGTACTCTTCATAGGACATATTTTAGTGTAAATCGAAACCATCGAGAAAGAAAGCACTATGCTTTTCCGTGCGATACCATTTCTCTATTGGTAGATATTGGTGTAGCCCACGTGGGGTGTCACGTCTGCATTACCTTTTCTGTTACCCAGTTCCATGCTAAAAGAGCCTGGATGCCATGTTAGTCATACTTATGTAACCTAGAGATTCAGGAAGGAGTATTCTGCTAGACTGCTAATAGGAAGCTAGCTAGCCATATGCGATTGGATGTACTCCCTCCCCTCTAGTTTTACTCCCTAAATATTATGCATGTTGTATCACTAGATTTATATTTTAAAGTATTTTTATGTGATGCTAATATCATATTCGTTGGTAACGTAACATGAAGTAAATTAATAGTCAAAGTATATCATTTGAGATCGTGTAAAATATAGTTCTTATAATTTGGGACAGAGAGGAAGTACATTCTTTGAGATCAAATAAAATATTTTTTAGAGGAAGTACATTCTTATAATTTGGAGAGGAAGTACATTCTTTGAGGAAGTACATTTTTCACTCGAAACAAACTACACTAAAATGTATTCAATTGTGGAGTCAATGAAGCTAGTGATTCGGTGGGCGTAACTGGTATGAATTCTCCTCTGGCTATATATGCAATTAATCCACATTCAAACAATTAGTTTTTCAATAACAGAAATCAACCCAAGCCGCTCTACATCATAGTGAATATACATCATAATGAATAATGAGTACTAGCCTTTTCATCATCTAAAAAGACAGGAATAACATTTGGCTGGCCGGTCGGCTATCGCGAATGCAATCTGATATTCTCGCACCCAGTCTTGCTCTGTCCTGGTGGCCATCCCTGTCCAATAATGCTTAGCCATGCATCCATCAAGAAAATTCCTTTATCAATTCATCTAGTATATATTCCTTTTTGAAAGTTTGCATTTCAAAATGTACGACACCATTAATTTTTCGCATAACGTTTGACCATTTGTCTTATTAAATATATATATAAATATCATTTACTCTCTCTGTTTCATATTATAAGTCGTTTTTTTTCTTAGTTAAACTTTTTTAATTATGTTTAACCAAGTTTATAGAAAAAATTAGCAACATTTATGATACCAAACTAGTTTTATTAAATTTAACACTGTATATACTTTGATAATATGTTTGTTTTCTATTTAAAATATTACTATATTTATCTTTAAACTTGATCAAGTTTAAAGAAAAGTTTGACTAAGGAAAAAAGTCAAATCTTATAATATAATAAAAACGTAGGGAGTATTTTGTTGTTACTTATTTTATCATCAAACAAAATATAATCTCAACTTATACTTTACATATATAATAATATATATAAATATTCATTTATTTTGTTGTGTTTAGCTTTTCTGCCGCCGGCCGGGAATAATGTCTAGCCTTTCTGTTTGTATTGCATCATGCATTTTGCATATCTGCAAGTCGATCTGGAAGCTAGTTCTCCTCCACATATGCATGCATGCTTTGCTTCTCTGGCCTGGCCACCACACCTTTCAAGACAAATCTATGGATATGTACTATCTTTTTTTCTTATTTTTTTTAATCTAAGCATTTTGAGAAGTTTCAAAAGTTATCGATCTCAGAATTTTTAAAAGCTTAACCAAACATTGTATGAGTTTTGGAATCGGAAATATACCGAACACACCGCGAATTGTAGAATAGGTATGGTGAAAAATTAATGAGAGATGAAGCTTGTAAAACGTTAGGCCAGCTATAAGTTTTGCCATGCCAGATCAGCTACAGTACCATCTGATTCTATCGTAACAATAGAATCTACATTGTACCCTAGAGTATGTAATTTAATTGTGCACAACAATATTAGTAGCTATAGGGCCTGTTTGGGGGAGCTTCTAGCTGCATCAACTTCTCCCAGAATCAAAAGCTCTCAAAATAGTTCAGCTGTTGGTCCAGATTCTAAAAAGCTATAGTTATAGAATTTATAAAAGAACTAAAAGCCAGAAGCTAGGTAACCAGCTTTTCCAAACTCTCAGAGCCTGGTTACCAAACAGCTGTTCTTAACTCTGCCAAACATGCCCATAGTTAGCTTCATTATTTTACTGCTAGCTTCATTTATTTTGGACGGGGTTAGTACATATGTATCTGTCTCGAAATCGCCTCTGTAAATGGGGTCAGTTTCAGCACTTCTATCGACATGAAGAAGATAGAAAGGGCCATGCGAGAGAGAGTGTGTGAGAAAGAGAAGATTCTACCGGGCACAACAAAGTGTGTAAATGCATAAAGAAAAGATTCTACTGGGCACATCATAGTAAGGCTATTCTCAGCTCAATAACTAGGATGGTGTCCATAGCATTAAATAAGCTGCTACCTAATATGAAAAATGATGTGGCAAGTGAGTAAATGAGGAAAGAGAAGAAAACAAGGTCTTGCATGAGACATGGTTTCTACACAACATTGAAGACATCATGTGAGATAAATTTAATTTAAGCATGAAAAAGTGGTGTTTGTATTGAAAAAGTAGTGTCTAATACTAGTTTATTGATGATGTGAAGTTTATGAAAACTACCGTGTAGTGTCTTGGGTTGGTACTGCCTAAAGGGGCCGGCTAGCTATATAAACTGTACAGATGCAGAGAAGCTTGCACAACTAGTGCATCCCTGTCACTGTTTGGCTAGCTTAACCTTCCTGACATCTATCCTCTGGATTGAACGGCAGGAGATACCTAAGCTAGCTAGCAATCTCTATCGATCTGTTTGTTTACATGTTCAGTTAAAGGTTACTGAGAAATGCCTAGAGTTTTTCCGGCTAGCTTCATAAGTTAGTGGGTTAGCTGACCTAGATTCAAAGTCTAATCCTTTTATTTATTTGATATTAGATATCCTAACGTTTTTAGTTAGAGGTTATTAATTTGACATGGCCGGCAGCGGCAGGGACGATCCTCTTGTGGTTGGCAGGATTGTGGGTGATGTGCTGGATCCATTCGTCCGGATCACTAACCTCAGTGTCAGCTATGGTGCAAGGATCGTCTCCAATGGCTGCGAGCTCAAGCCGTCCATGGTGACCCAACAGCCCAGGGTCGTGGTCGGTGGCAATGACATGAGGACGTTCTACACACTCGTACGGATCATATCTTGGATGCAGAGACCCACCAGAAGTTATTTAATTACTTTCATTAATTATCATAAAACTAGACTATAAATTATATTTTTTACATGGATGCATGTTAATTTTGTGTGGCTTACGTACTAATCTAATTACCTACAGGTGATGGTAGACCCGGATGCTCCGAGCCCAAGCAACCCTAACCTTAGGGAGTATCTACACTGGTAGGCACCGATCAGATATGTTAGCTAGCTAATTGTATACATTCGTCCTAGAATATAAAGAATTTGGACCGGATTCTCAATCATTCGCGTTGATTCTCTTTGTCTGTCTGTAGGCTGGTCACCGATATTCCTGGTACCACTGGAGCAACATTTGGTCAGTAAACTAGTATATATATATAGTACTCATATCAATTTCGATGTAACAGCAACATATGTGGCAGTTCCATGAATTTTTATTACCTTGGTCCTACCCCATATATATACTTCAAAAATTGCATAATGACAAAATTATACTCCCTCCGTATTTTAATGTATGACGCCGTTGACTTTTTAACCAACATTTGACCATTCGTCTTATTTAAATTTTTTATGCAAATACAAAAATACTTATGTCATGCTTAAAGAACATTTGATGATAAATCAAGTCACAATAAAATAAATGATAATTACATAATTTTTTTGAATAAGACAAAAAGTCAAACGTTTGTTAAAAAGTCAATGTCGTCATACATTAAAATACGGAGGGAGTATCTATTTTGTCAAAAATTTTCGTCAGATTTGAAGGATAGGGCTGTACTTCTTCTATGCCAAAATGGAGGGTGGTGATCCCCTCAAAACTTGTAGAACAGCCACTGTTGATATATATATGGTGAATAACGTAGATAATTAAATTGATGCAGGGCAAGAGGTGATGTGCTACGAGAGCCCAAGGCCAACCATGGGGATCCACCGGCTGGTGTTCGTGCTGTTCCAGCAGCTGGGGCGTCAGACGGTGTACGCACCGGGGTGGCGCCAGAACTTCAGCACCAGGAACTTCGCCGAGCTCTACAACCTCGGCTCGCCGGTCGCCACCGTCTACTTCAACTGCCAGCGCGAGGCCGGCTCCGGCGGCAGGAGGGTCTACCCCTAGCTAGCTACGCATGCCACCCGGCCTCCATGCATGCAGCAGCTATAGCTAAGCTGAGACCTGCCTAGCTGTATATGCATGCAGGCTCTTAAGTGTGTATATATAAATAAATAAATGTATATCTACTATTATAAAATTATAAAAATATAAAGATGCTAGCGTTCATGCATTAGCTAGATCGATCGATGTATCAAGTTATCATATTATCTCTCCTCTATGCTAATATAACAAATGAATTATTATTGCAACTGAAACTTTTACTATATATATTGATACAATTAATTATTCTAGTTTTCTCATAAGCTAGCCAAACATTTTTTTCTCTTTTACCATTAATTTTTAAAAATTTATATATTGAACATCATAATATATATATTTTTTTATAATCAACATGAGAAAATAACTTACACATTTTTAAATTGTGAGAATTTTCAGAAATCGATGGCCATAGAAATGTTAAACTTGGGACAAAGCTATCAGAATGAAAAGTAATTTGAAAATGAGGGAGTAGAAAAAACCAATAAGGTATAATTCACTTCAGTACTATGCATGGTACAACTAGTATGCTAGTGATCAAAATCAGATACACAACCATGAGAAGACTGTCATGTGCTGGACATGGACTTCACAGTGGGCCGGATGTGGGTTGTCATAGGAAAGGGGGCTTGGCCCAGGAGCAAGTCATCCAGAGTATAAGTACACACTCCAACAAGAGAAAGGGGGCGATGAATTATTTTGAACCAATGGCTGCGGCCTCCTCCTCCTCCTCCTCCTCCTCCTCCTCCTCCTCCTTCTCTGTGTCTTCTTCCTCCTCTCTAGAGTTCTCCCACCCCCAACTCTGATTTCTACTCCTGGATTCAGATTCTGCTTGGCGTGACGCCAGCGTTGTCTCGGATTCCATTCTGCTACATGTATCCAAGTAATCGAGTGATTACTGCTGTGATTTGGCTCTAGAATTGTGGTTGTTCTGCTGTGATTTGTGTTGATTCGATGGAGAATATGTTGGATCGTGACAATATGGTATCAGAGCAGTCGATTCATGGGATTCCGATCCGGGAGATGCAGTGGACGACACATGGGGGCAGTGACGACTGTTGGGGCCAGGATTTGAGCCATGGAGGTGACACTGTCAGAGGCGCCCGCCAGGTGTTCGATGAAATGCCAAGCCGGTTAGGAAGTGCTGCAGGTGCTGCACTCCATGTCCAAGTGAACCACCTCATCTACCCTGTGTCTACCAATGTGATGCATCAAGTCTTCAACCCCTATGGAGCAGTGGCGGTGCAGATGCTTGCGGTCGATGCATGGCGTGTGGAGGCAATTGTTTGGTTTCGGACGACCTGCGACGCAGAGTGGGCTCAGGATGAACTCCACGGCCGCAATATCTACGACGGGGGCTGCGTGTTGGATGTGCAACATGTGCCGACCTCGCTCGAAGACAGAGCCGACACTGCGCCCACCAAGTGTTTGATGCAAGTACCAGGATGTGCCACCACAAAATCAGATACCGAGAGCACTCCTACTACTCTGGAACACGTGTTTCCGGCCACCATGAGTCTATCTGCGGCCAAATCAGCAGTCACAACAACGTCGGTTTCACTCACCGAGGCCATGGAGGCTGAGGCTAGCATGGACAAGGTGGTGGAGAACGCAGGCAAGGCCATTCAAGACCTGTGCACCAGGATCGATCGGATTTTGGAGGCATTTCACGACACCAAGGTGGATTTATCCGAGAACAAGGATTCCACTAGAGATGTGGCAGAGTTGAGCGCCAACACTAGTCCAACTACCATTGCATTGGAGGTCAGTGCTGAGGCTGGCCCAACTAACCATGTTGACTTAGCCAAGCTTGGCATGGGAACAACCATCGAGTGTTCAATGAAGGGAAAGAATCAGTTGGTTGATGATGATGGCAAAGACATGGCTAACGATGAGAGAACTGAGCTCATTGAAGTGGATACCAAGTTTACTTCTGTGAATTTATGCTTCAGAGATCCATGGTTAGCCCTCAATGCAATTCCTTCCAGGATCTTGATTGGGTGTCTGAGCCATGACCTTGGTGTTAACAATCTCTCGTTGGTTCCATCTACATTGGAAGTGCCTTACCATTGCTTTGTATTGGGCTCAGTATGTAGAGCTAGCTCACCACCAGTACCACTTTGGAGAGTGGCAGTTCCATGGTACAGCGATCAGGTCTTTTCAGGTTCTCGGCCCTCGCCATGGCCTGATCCATGGTTGTATTCAGGCAACGGAAGTGTGGTGGTATTTCAGCCTCTCCAACCATGGCCACCCCCTCTACAAGCCAAGAGCAAAGGTTCTATTGTTGAACGGCAGCTAGAACCGTGGCATGATCCTCAAATAAAACAAGATAACAGAGGCGTTGTGGTGAATCTCCTACAACCCAGACTTTCACCTGACAGATGGAATGAGTCTTGGTTCAGTTGTGATAATGCTTGGGAGTTAACACAAAGTCACTGCAAGCTCTTGCTGACAGAACATATGGCCTTGATGGCGCATAATGAAGAGAATCGCCTTGAGCAGAATCTGAGTCTGTGCGTGGTGAGCAAAAGGGCATCATCTCTTCAATTCAACGCTGACTTTTGGAAGTCAGCTTGGTGTGTCCAACTTGTGTTCAAGCAAACATTTGCAATTCAGAAAGTTATGTTTTCTAATGAGGCAATAATGAAGTCTTGGGATCATGTTGCTGCCAAACGAGACACAGATTATGACATCTCTCCTATGTTTGACGTCTCTACAATGACAAGGTTGCTGGCAAGAATCAATTTGCTTGATTCCAATTTCGGACAGGTGGATATGCAGACATTCCAAGCAAGTGCAAATGTTGTCACTGTTGTTGGCCTGAAGTACTCTCCTTTGGTGGTTAGAATGGCCTTTGCTAATCACCTGCACGCACCCTGGGACCCTGGAGGCAGTAACCTGGACACTCTCTTGCATGTTAGGAAGGACAGGCAACAACCACAACTACAACCACTGCAAAATGCCTTTCCTGATAGTGTGAGGGCGGACATGAAACCATTGCTGCAGATCATGGCTTTAATGACAAAGTTAATTAAACTATACTCTTGGCCTGCTTCTGGAAGATGGGGAGATCAAGTACTAAATCAAGTTCATGAATTGTGCAAGTGCAGTCAAGATCAGAGCCTATTCCAGTTCACTATCTCCACAGAGATGAAGATGACATGGCTTGGGGATCTTGAGACTATCAAACCTACGCTTTGCATGAGTATCAAGCTACCTGACTGCAGTTTTGGAAGAATGGAGTTGCCATGGGATCCTGGGGGCATGAATTTTGTGCCTCATTTGCACCAGCTTGAGGGCAAGCTGATTTTCAAGGGGAGAGGAATGTCATGTGCTGGACATGGACTTCACAGTGGGCCGGATGTGGGTTGTCATAGGAAAGGGGGCTTGGCCCAGGAGCAAGTCATCCAGAGTATAAGTACACACTCCAACAAGAGAAAGGGGGCAATGAATTATTTTGAACCAATGGTTGCGGCCTCCTCCTCCTCCTCCTCCTTCTCTGTGTCTTCTTCCTCCTCTCTAGAGTTCTCCCACCCCCAACTCTGATTTCTACTCCTGGATTCAGATTCTGCTTGGCGTGACGCCAGCGTTGTCTCGGATTCCATTCTGCTACATGTATCCAAGTAATCGAGTGATTACTGCTGTGATTTGGCTCTAGAATTGTGGTTGTTCTGCTGTGATTTGTGTTGATTCGATGGAGAATATGTTGGATCGTGACAAAGACGCTCGGAGAACAACGAGAGGGCGGATCGATCGATGCCGGGAAGCTTGGTGGCCGGAGTTAATGGCGTCGATTCGCCGGAGATGAAAAGCCATCGATTCAAGGCAATTCAAGGCTAGGGTTCGTCAGGTGGAAGGAAGTCAGGAACCGATCGATGCCGTGGCTGGAGGAAGACGACGCTTCCGACAGGTGGGCCCGGAGCGCGTCCACGCACGCAGACGTAGGCTGGTCCAAAGCAAGGGGAGGAGAGAACCATATGGGCTAGAAGTGGAGAAGAATAGCAGGCCGAGCTGAATTGGAAAGAATTGGGCCGCCCTGGATTTAGAAGGGAAAGAGAGGAGGGGACCTGGGCTAGCAGTGTTGGGCTTAAAAAAAGGTTGGAGAGGAAGGGAGTGAGCGACTGGGCCGGAACTGGGCCGGGGACATGGAAAAGGGATGGAGTGAAGTTCAACATGAATAGTTTCCTCTGATAACTTTTCAGGGAGAGGATTTTTAGATGAGAATGAATATTTTGTATCGTTTTGAATTCAAATTTTGGCATATCGGTAGCGCGAGCAGTGCCATCTAAACCGGAAACCAAAATATGTACGTGATTAGCACTATATTTAGTGAAGATTAGCGTGATTAGTTATATTTTTTTTCTTTTCCTGAGTAATTAGTTTGTATCTACGAGCCTGTTCAGATTGGTGCCAAAATAAACCTTACCAAAATTTGGCAATGCCAAAATTTTGGCAATTTTACAACGTTGCCAAAATTTTGGTAGAATTGGTTTCATAATGTTGCCAAAACTCTATACACATTGCCAATATTTGATAACAAACTAAACGTAGCCACATAATCACCAATTTACCAAATAATGGTATGGTTAAAAATGTCATCAATCTGAACAGGCCCTACATACAGTTGCATTTTTTAAAAACTTCTCGTATATAATTTTAAGGCTTTCAATTAAAAAGTAAAAACACAACCCAAAAATTCTAAACTTTATATCCCAAATCATAAACTTTCAACACCAATTTAAAGACTTCCAACTCAAATTAGTAAACTTTTAACTCAGATTAAAAACTTTCAAGTCAAGATTTGAAAACTTTCAAATCAAGTTTAAAATGTTCAACTCAAAATTAAGAAACTTCCAACTCAAATTTGAAAACTTTTGATACAAATTTTGAAACTTTCAACTCAAACTTTAAAAAACTTCTCGACAAATTTAAAAAATTTAAATTTCAAGTCAAGATTTGAAATTTCGAACTCCTAAAGTTCGACTTTCGACTGATTTTTAAAAACTTTCACCTTGATGTTTATTTATTATTTTTTATTTAAAAAATTATTTTATACTATCGTTAATGCTAAACGTTATTAGCTCACATTATTCGGGACGTGTGCGAAGGGAGGATTGCGCGCCAGCTCAGCTCCTAGCGTAGACGCGCTGATTAGTAGCCCTCTACAATACCTAAAAAGGTTATTAAATTGGTTAACTTTGATATATCTGGTCACAAAAAATATAAACGTTAAAAGGGTGTTTCTATAAATATTTTTTAACTATTAATTCGTACCACATGTATAAGAAATTAGTGAGGCCATATATATCTCTTGATCTCAAATCCCTTTCCATCAAAACAACACACACCGATTGCAGTCAGCTACGTAACACTTACGTTGTAGATCATATATCACATCTGGAAAAAGAGGGAGCAAGACATGCGTGAAGGGATGAAATACATGCCTTATGCTGTTTTTCAGCTGTAGATGCATTTTGTGCCGATTTGACCTGTTATTTGAGAGTCCGGCCGGATTCTTTTTGGAGACAAAGATAAGATACATCAACGTTAATTTATTCCTCAGACGCATATTGGTGCATTGGTGGCATGCCGAGCTTAGTAGCTAGACGCTCATATTCAACACTTAAAATATTTGACCAATAATTAATTATTTATTATAAATTAAATCTTATTTGATAAAATTAGTATCGTTATATTGACATTTGGATTTCTTTTTATATTATTATGGTTTTATTGCTACAAACATGGTATATGAGAAATTTAAAGTTATATTAGTTTTACATTTCAAGTCTGATTGCGCTTTATTCAGTAGGAGTGACGGAGTAGGTGTGTTGATGAAGTCACGAAGTAATGAATTGATGATGGATAATATACCACATGTCCAGCCAGCAGCCAAAAAGGAAGGGATAAGTAAAATTGGTCAAACCTGATGTATATACGTGCATGCTGTCAATTTAAAGTTACGGGAAAAGGGAAATGCCTTTTGTTCATGATGATCAACACGGCTCCGTGCATTCTTTTGTTCTGTTTTTCCTTTTTCATGGAATGCATGAAAATATTGTGCCTGTGTGGCATCTTTTTTTTTCTTAAGGCTATAATTAAGTTGCTTGTTATTGCACAAGTTTTTTGTGTAACACACTACCATTATATACGTTAGTACTACATACCCCTATCCACAAATATAATGGATTAATGTTGTTGTATGTTGGCTTCCTTGTATTTATGAACGGAGGTAGTATCTTATAGCACATTGTTAGCTTTATGCAGTGCGCGTGGTCTATACATATATTTTTTAAGGAAACGAGAGGGGCCCTCTATACCTTTTTCATGATTTATAAAAAGAAAAGTTGAGAGCATAAAGCATGAGAAAATATATACTAGCAATCCTCGCAAAAAAAAAGAAAAAAATACTAGTTAGCGATCATCTTGTTCAGTGGCGAATCTCGGAATTTTCTTTTTGAGTCTGGATGCAAGCCTATGACGCATAACAAGTACACATGAATCCATATAAATATGCACAACATTTTTACGACACAAGTAAAACTAACAGCGTTGAGTTATAATCTTAGAGAGCAATACCAATGGCCTATACTTGTGTATGAGGACGAGTAGCCTGAACCCCACTTTATCTCTTTAATTCATTTTATGAAAACACTCTAGCCTGCTCCCCACTCTTTTTAAGTGAAGCTGAAAGTTTGAAATCATTTAGTTCGGTTTCAACTTTAGAAGAGATAGAGATTTGGAGCTCTACCAAATAGGTACTGAGTTATGCTAGCTTACGGGCTACGGACATAACATGGTATTGCTCAGCTGTTTTTTCGACTATTCTGGCCTTCATTTGGGTATTTAATTAAGTACTAGTATTCTTATCCGCATGCAAAGCTTTCAATGCCTTGAAATGTAATATAGAAGACATATTGAGCTACATATCAATTGACCTATTGGAAGATAGTCAAATGCTGTAACATTTTATGACGGTACCAATACTATTTCCCTTGGAATTAATAAAGAGCTATCAAGAAAAACACACATATATACAAAAGAAAAGGCTTAGCTAGTTTCTCTATCACAACAGTATATAGAAACTAGCTAGAAAGTTACTGTTGAACATTTTTCACCCTCGACCAACGCTAAAGTCATCTCATCTAGCTAGCTTCCTCAACGATTGAAAAATTCTCAATAATAATTCTATCGATCGGCAAGTATATATGCTTGTCCACAAGATAGATAGATATACCAATTGGATATACGAGTATCTAATCTCTAAAGCAGACAATGAAAATTCGAAAGGATGTCTATGTAAGAAACTCGTTGCTGAGCGCTGTCACTATATTCCACTATAAATCTATGTATATCACTAAGGCATCTCCAATGTTCCATGTCAATTTTTTCTACCATCCATGCCCGATTCTCTTTGCGTGCAGCAGTGGGGAGAGAGAAAAGAGATCGATCCAAGATTAATTTGTGCAGGTCCTGGCATTCAAAAAAAAATTGTGCAGGTCCTTATTAGGCCTAGTTCGATACAGCAAAATGGCCATGCTTTTTTTCACGCAAAACACAAAGAATCATTAGAGCACGACTAAAATTAAGTATTAACTATTACAAACTTAAAAATAGATATGTTTCTTTTTAAAAAAAAAACTTATATATAAAGTTTTGCATAAAAGCGTGTTGTTTATAACAGTTTGATCGAAAAGTGTGTTTACAAAAATAATGAGGTAGTAGCGAAACCGAAAAGCTGAATCAAACTCATCCTAGCTAGTTCTGTGACTACCAGCCTGAGGCAGTTACCTCAACAACTTTGTTTGGTTCCTTTGTAACGTGGCTCTCTCCCCTCATCTCAATAAGAATATCGTCGGCGTTTCATTCTTATATGTCGACTCGACGTTAGAGAGATCCAAGATTAAGAACTTCCCCCATTTGTAGTTTTTGTAAATAAATTTCTTGAAATTTGAAATTTGCCCTAAAATTTTCTAAGAATTTTTCTATTCCACCGTAATTTCATTGCGACACATAAAGTATAGACAACAAAGACATAATGTATTAGTAAGAGAGAAACAACAAAGAAAACTAATGAAACTCACCGTGGTTTTGGCCAATTTTTTTTGTTCTTTAATGAACCATGTGGTTCAGATTCTTAATTGGTGAGATGCAGATACAAGAGGTGGATATGGGGAATAATTGCAGCATGGACCTGCCATGAAGAGATCAACCCAATGAACTAGAGCAACCTTACAACAATCTATGGTTGGTGGTTGGATCTGGCCTCCATCCCGTAAGTACAGAAAGAAGGGTTGAATTGAGAAGCCTAACCCTCTTAGCTGCTTGGGAAATTTGGAAAGAGCAGAACCAGCGAGTCTTCAAGCACAAAAGCTCTTTGCAACAAGCTTGATGGTAAAAATAAAATAAGAGGCAAAAACTTAGGCCTTGGAGAGAACAAAACGTTTGTCAGGCATAGCCTCCTAAGGCCGAGCTTTTCCTTTTTTTAAAAAAAATAACACCCTTACACTCTATATAGTTTTTCCTCCTATATTTAATGAAATGGCACACTCGGATGCTAGTTTGTTAAAAAAAAATATTCTCGGTGAGATTGTAATGTGATACCACGATCACTATCTCGGCTGCGACTCAGAATTTTCTTGAACTGGTCAAAATATTTTGGATCAATTCAAATTTCTTTGAGTTTTGGTTAAATTAATTTCATCTACAAAATGAATATTTCTGGGCGACATTAACTTTACCTTGAGATCGATAGAGAAATCTCACCCAAATTTTCTCCCCCGGACGCCCGAAAAGACCTGATTTAACTCCCAACTATGGTAATTAAAAATGAGGATTGCAGATGGGCAATCTAATTAATTACAGCTAGCACTTGCCACAATATTCTTTGCAGACAATGATCGGAAGCTTTAACCAAATTTGGGCGAGCGTCCTGTGTAAGCTATGCCGTTGGAGGCAAGTCTGCCAAGCCCGTCTTGTTCAACCTTTCCGACCACACACTGCCATGCATGCATGTGTGCATGTTCATAGCAAAGGTTGCTATATTCTATAATGGATCAGGTACTAGCTTCTATTTCTTCCGTTTCATATTATAAGTCGTTTAATTATTTTCTAGTCAAAACTTTGTTAAGTTTGATTAAGTTTATAAACATCTAAAATATCAAATTAGTTTCATCAAATCTTACATTGAATACATTTTGATAATATGTTTGTTTTGAGTTGAAAATACTACTATATTTTTCTATAAACTTGTTCAAACTTAAAGAAATTTGACTATGAAAATAGTCAAACGAATTATAATATAAAAACGGAGGGAGTAGCTTGCAGCAAATGCATGCATTCCCCATCAAATAATTTTTGTTCTCTCTCTCTGTGTGAAGTTGATCAGATCTTGTTCTTCTTTCACATCACCAGCCGCCGACATAGAAAGGAAAGGAATTAATTCCTTTCTGTATATAATTATAATATTATAATTGTTATGCCATTGATTTATTGACACAGCTAGAGATGGTATCGGCTTATCTTGCCCGGACAAATCGAGCTAAGCAAGAACATTTACATAATAAGCAGGCATCAGATTAAGACAGCAACGCAGAATTGCAGACAGAGAGAATGCATGGAGGCAGCTAGCAAGCAGCCCCTGCCTGTTGGTTCTCTACACGGTTTCAATCAATCACCAGCTAATTGGCAGACATTCAAACAAATCGCAACACCGTAGTATAGTACTTTTAATTCGTCTTCGAGATACGACTTTAATCATTAATTGCCTTACCTCAACTTTATGTTCGGATTACATATCATGTAATATTATAAAAAAATCTAATGGTGTAATAAATGTTATAAAATAAACTTAGATGCATAGTTCCGGATATATGCCCCTCCGGTTTTTAATGTACAACACTTAAATTTTGGATGTGTGTTCGTTTTGAATCAAATCTGAAATAGTATGTTACTTTTAAAGTGCCTTTAAAGATAAAACAAATCACAATAAAAATACATATATTTTTAAATAAGACAGATGATCAAGCATATATTCAAAGTCAACAGATCAGTCATACATTATTAGAAGAGAATTTCTTGTATGCCCTTGAAATTTAAGTCAATCTTTTCTATGCCCTTGAATTTTACTCACTCTCTTGTATAGTTGTATACCTTTTAATTATGATTTCATCTCTTTTACATCTTTTCCGTTAGTTGACCGGTTCCCTTTAAAAATTAGAAGTTTGTGTACGAGACTATTATATTTCTGAGTTTGTTGTGCGATGTACTATTTACAAAAAGAAATTAGATGTGCAAGAAAAATAATATTTATTTAAAACAATATGTGTAGCATATTTTTGTGATGTAACATATTTGCCACCTATTGTATATATTATCTAAAAGAAATCCTATACAAGACCAATTGTTTTTTTTCAATTATAAAAAAGCCGCACAAGCTTTTTCATGAATATATTAAATTTTCTAAGTACAATACTTCCTCATAGAAAAAAACTTATAATATTATAGTCCCACAATAAATTACTATATTTCCAACGTTAGCATCCACAAAATTTCTAGGCATGTACAATTGTAAAATGACCTTTTTACAGGCATTAAACAGTTAACTAACGGTACGGAAATGGTATAAAACGGGTTAAAATTAAAATTCAGAGGTATATAAAAAATGAGCGATTAGCTAAACTTTTAGGAGTATAAAAGAAATTCTCTTACTGAAAACCAGAGGGAGTACTACATATAACCTCATTTTTTTACGGGTTGATAAGTTGCGGAAAAACCAACAAATTAGCAACAAATATGAGTAAAACTTGTATACATGTGTCTTCTTAGCGATTTAAAAATCAATGCTGAAAATAAATTACAATAAAATTAAAAATCTCAAGATAATCTCTAAAATGTAGTTTTAAAATTTAAATTTTGATTGCGACTGATAAGAAAAAAAAACAAATGATGGGAGGCTATATCAACTGTCAAACTGGCTAATTTAGAAAGACGACATCGAATTCCTACAGATTGGAGGCAGCAAAAGAGAGCCCGTCTCTGCCGGGTGCGTGCATGATGCTCGATCATATCCCATCTCTCCTCACTTCATCATCAACAAGAACAAGAGGAACTATATAGCTGCAAGATCTAGACTGAAACTACTATAGCAACTAACTGTACTGTAGCTAGATTACGCTTAGCTATAGCTGCTGCTGCATCTATCTGTAAATTCCAACTACGACGTCGACTGCTGCAAGCTAGCTTGGCCGGCTAGCTAGATAGCTAGCTAGCTCAAAAGAGAAAGCTTTGCGAAATAGGAGTAACTAGCTAGCTCTAGCTAGGGCGCCATCGATGCGTGACCACCGAGCTCGCCTCGTCCACACGTACAGGAAGACGATGCAGAAAGCGGCCGGCATGCAGTACACTGACCGAGCTAAGAGAGAGAGAGAGATGATATTATTCTTCTGCAGCTAAATTAAAGTGAAAGTTGGACATGGACATGGACATAGTAATTTTGCATGGCCATCATCTTGCCCTCCTATATAAAGCGGCCATCTCACTCTCAACCACAGCTCGATCCAGCAGCCCTGCACCACACACAGTTCAGCTAGCAGATCACCTAGCTAGATAGCTGCCTCTATCACAGTATATTTGCTCCCTGCAACTTGCTGCTGCTGCAATAGCTAGCAGCTGCAGCTAGTAAGCAAAACTATAAACCTTCAGGGTTTTTTGCAAGATCGATGGCCGGAAGTGGCAGGGACAGGGACCCTCTTGTGGTTGGTAGGGTTGTGGGTGATGTGCTGGACGCGTTCGTCCGGAGCACCAACCTCAAGGTCACCTATGGCTCCAAGACCGTGTCCAATGGCTGCGAGCTCAAGCCGTCCATGGTCACCCACCAGCCTAGGGTCGAGGTCGGCGGCAATGACATGAGGACATTCTACACCCTTGTATGTGAGCTCTACCATGTGTCGTAGTTGGTGCAGAGACCAGAAGTTATACTTTCTTTCATTATTATATTATAGAAAAATTTGTTTGGTACTTAACCCAAGATGACTTTAAAATGCATTAATTTGATGTTTGTCATGGTTTTTTGTGGTGTGTACCTGAAGGTGATGGTAGACCCAGATGCACCAAGCCCAAGTGACCCTAACCTTAGGGAGTATCTACATTGGTAAGCACACTAATGTTAAGCTAGCGCACTTGTTTTCATGCAATGATCAAAATAATCACTGCTAGCTGATTTACATACATAACCACATCTTGACTGCATGATGGGTTGATCATCTTAATTTGTTTGTCCACAGGTTGGTCACTGATATTCCTGGTACTACTGCAGCGTCATTTGGTCAGTATTAAACGATCAAATGGTTTAGATTGATTTGATTTCCCACTTAAATACATTGCAGTATAAAACTAACAGAGGTAAATTGTCTTTCCATACTATTGTTTGGGGGGGGGGGGGCAGGGGGCAGTGAGTTGTTGAGCATTTTCCCTCACTCGCGAGCCCCCAGTTTGCCGCATTAATTCCCCATCATCCTTCACCACCACAAAAAAAAAAGTGATTTGGAGAAGGATACGCTCCTCCAAATAATTTTTAACAAGTTCACCACCACAACGAGGCACCGACAACCGCCATGAGTCCACGCACCCTGCAGCTAGTCGTGCCACCAGCACCACAGTTAGCCACACCGCGAGCAATCCACGCCATCACTTGCCGCTGTGAGTCCACGATCACACGCCTCGATCAGCCAGCTGCCATGATATGTCGGCTTGGGCTTGGATTCTGCAACATACCATGTCCCCATCGATGGCACCACACTCTAATTCGCCAACACAACACTGAAGGGATCGGATCGGGAGGGCTAGCTCACTCAAGATAGTGACGGGATGATTCGATGGGAATTCCATGGGGAACAAAGCACAAAATCATTAAAATGTCCTTTTCAATTCCATGGCAAATTCCTAAAGCAATACTCTCTCTCCATTCTATAATGTAGGTTGCACACTCATTTCAAGATTCAACTTTCAAAACATTTGACTAACGATTTGTATAATATAAATTGAATTTTATTTGATAGAAATAATATTATTGGATTGATATTTCAATATACTTTCATATGGTTATAATTTTGTTACTACAAACTTTATAGTATATTAGAAATTATAAATAAAAAATTAGTTTTGTAGACCGTACATGCCAAGTTTGACCATACCATATTATGAAAAAGAGGGAGTAGTAACCTTGTTTATATTTGCAATATATACTCCCTCCGTTTCTAAATATCTGACGCTGTTGACTTTTTAAACATGTTTGACCGTTCGTCTTATTAAAAAATAAGTAATTATTAATTCTTTTCCTATCATTTGATTTATTGTTAAATATATTTTTATGCAGACATATAGTTTTACATATTTCATAAAAGTTTTTGAATAAGAAGAATGATCGTCAAATATTTAGAAACGAGGGGAGTATATTGCTAGTAAATTTTACTGTAAAGTCATGTTTCTTCATGTGTCTTTTTTAGAACATTTCTTCTTCATGTGTTCCAATCAATTTTTTCGATCTCCACCACCACTACCACAGTTGTATGTGTAGTAGCTAGCTGTTGCACATGCTCATGTTAATCTGAATCTGTCCATGGTTTTTTGCAGGGCAAGAGGTGATGTGCTACGAGAGCCCAAGGCCAACCATGGGGATCCACCGGCTGGTGTTCGTGCTGTTCCAGCAGCTGGGGCGTCAGACAGTGTACGCGCCCGGGTGGCGTCAGAACTTCAACACCAAGGACTTCGCCGAGCTCTACAACCTCGGCTCGCCGGTCGCCGCCGTCTACTTCAACTGCCAGCGCGAGGCAGGCTCCGGCGGCAGGAGGGTCTACCCCTAGCTAACGATGATCCCGATCGATCTGCTGCATGCTCACTATCATCATCCAGCATGCTATACATTGCAGGTTCAGACAATTGAAATGATTCTCGACACACAACATATATATGATGGTGTAATTAATTATGCAATTAAATAGCTGAGCAAGGCTAAGGTCTCTCATGAAGCTAGCTTTGCTCTATATATATATATATATATATATAGTGAAGTGTGCAATAAGCTGCAAGTATATAAGACTGGATTTAAGGAGCTAATTAACTAAACCATGCATCATGTATATGTGAGATGCAGTCGTGCTCTTGCATCCAAGGATACATACAGCATATGCATGCAATATTGGTATCATATGCAGCGGCTGCTAGCTACTCCTAGATCAAGCTATACAGCAGAATGTAAACATATATGTGTAGCAGTACTTATACGTAGCACATCGATCTGCACATGTTGGATGTAGCAAGAAATTGCTATGAAATATAAGTAGAGATGTGCTTAATATCAAATGTGTATCACATGTGAATCTATCAGCTGGGCATATATAGTGTCTCTTTCAGGCTTCCATCTCACTGTCTATCTCGCCCCCCACTGAATATGCCCAGTTTAAGGACAGGTACTACGTGCTGATGATATGATATGATGGTGAAAGGGACTACAGCTAGGGAGTATCAATCAGAACCCATGTTTTGGAAAAGCTGATACGGATCGATATTGATCATATGCATGCGTAGAAGAATTCATCGTCAGAAAACGCGTACGATTGGTCGTATGTGAAAGAAGCATATATATCTAGATCTGTAACTTTAAAATCCACTCTCCTATGATCGATCGAGCATCCATTGGTGAGTTATATGTTCAAAAGCATCGATCGAGATCGTCACGATTGGTAGTGGGTGATCGATGCAGCTATACTAGCTCCTTTTCTCTCCCAATCGTCGAAGATTCAGGCATTCAGCCAATGCTGTTGCAGGGATATAATTGTCTCTGTTATTTTTTATTCTGACATTGTATACATCGATAGTAGTCGTCAATACACACATGTTTTATCATTATATTTCAAAACAATATATTTTACAAAAATATTTAAAATACTATAGATCTATAGTCTATATGCAAGAAAGAGTTTTTCATAAGAAAGTGTCTACTCATAATTTTCACATTTTAAATAAATCCTGATACTTTTGCATTTATATATTAATTACTTAATATTTTCAGATTTTTTTTATTTGACTACACGTGTTCTACGCCTCATCTTTTTGACAATGGAGGTAGTATAGCTACAATTGGCATCTTTGAGCAATTACTGCTCAAACTTCTTTAAGTTTAACTAAATTTATAAAAAAATATAGTAATATTTTCAACATAAAACAAACATATTATCAAACTATATTCAATATTAGATTAATAAAAATAATTTTATATTTTAGATGTTGTCAAACTTGACAAAGTTTGACTTAAAAAAGTCATTCTTCTTTTCATATTATAAGTCGTTTGACTTTTTTCTTAGTTAAATATTTTTAAGTTTGACCAAGTTTATAGAAAAATATAATAATAATTTTAACACAAAATAAATATATTATTAAAATATATTCAATGATATACTTAATAAAACTAGTTTGACAGTTTAGGTGTTGCTAAATTTTTCTTTATAATATGAAACGGATTTGTAATATGAAACGGAGGTAGTACTTTGTACCTGATAATCAATGCAAATGTGTAGTGGTAACTGATCGCAATGTGTGACCACTGCAACTAATTAATAGATGGCCTCAACCTTATTTAGTTAATTAAGCATGGCTGAGGTTGATCTATTAATTATGTCATAAATACGAAACTACGTTTTGATTTTTTTTTCTAGTTAAATTTTTTAAAATTTTGATCAAATTTATAGAAAAATGTAGTAGCATTTTTCACACAAAACAAAAATATTATAAAAATATATTCAATGTTATATCTAATAAAATTAATTTGATGTGATGGATGTTGCTAATTTTTTCGATCAAATTAGTCAAACTTATTAATATTTAACTAGAAAAAAGTCGAAACAAACTTATAATATAGAATAGATATAGAATAGAGGGAGTAGTAATTTTTAGATCAATATGTAATCATCACTTTAATTAGTAACTAGCTAGGTAGCTAGGGGCATCAGAATCAGACAAACGGCTGAATTGAAGGTCCATCAATCGTTCGATTGTACGCAGGTCGATCGTCATGAGGTCATCGCCATACATATCTAACACAATATGAACACCAAAACACTACTGATTATGATGATTTAGTCTAGCTAGAGACAAAACGAAGAACCGGCGCCATTAGCCCTAGCTGCTAGGCCATTATGGCAGAATCAGATCATCGATCGATCTCATTGCTTTTGTTATCCTTTTGAGATCGATCGATCGATGTGATCGAGTGCTGTTGCCGAAGCACGAGAAAAACAACACCGAGAAAGAAATATTGTATCTACTACGATCCATGCTAGACCCTACACCGTACATTCCAAAAAAGGTCAATTCTAAGGACTCCATCGTTTCGCTTATCGATAGAACAAGAGAAACGGAATATTTGTAAGCAGAAAATAATTTATAAATAAAACTTTTATATACGTGTTCTTAACAATCTAAAAGCAAAAGGCTGAAAAATAAATGACGATGGAAAAACCCCAAAATCAACTCCAAATTTAAAGTTGAAAATTCAAATTTTGGCTTATAAACATAAGCATAAACCACAAGATTAGGCTCTAAGTTTAAATGTAGACCTAGCAAAAGTGGGCATTTTGGGATGGAGGGAATAGCTAACTATGTATACATTGTACGGGGGACGGAGCTAAAACAAAGTAGAATGTGGTTTCCCTCACTTGTTTTACTCTTCTTTAAATCGAGTTTAATTTGATACGGGTGTCTAAATTTATACTAACAAAATACATATATATATATATATGATAAAAATAGATAAAATATAGCTTAAAAAAATATAGTATCTCTGAACCAGGTTCTTGAGCAGCCCCATCTACAAATGTAGGTCCGCCCCCACCCCTGCGTTGTACTGACAAGAATATCCCTCTCGCCGCCACGGTTTTGCCTCGGCCCGCATAATTATACACAAATATTGGGCCGGCCCGTCACGTCATGGGCCGGATAGTGGTGGATTAATAGGCCCGAGTTGGGCTATGGAGTGGTGGATTATTGGGCCGATTTGGGCTGTGGCGGTGGGCCATCCGATCGGCCCGGCCCAGTTACGGGTAGGTGACCTCCAGTCCTCCACGCTGAGGCGGAGGCGGCGGCTTGAGCTCGCACACGCGGCGGCGCGAGGGCCGGAGAAGAGAAGCGAGCAGCGAAAGCACCGGCGACCTCGGCGAGGAGCCAGGCCATGGCGGCGACGAGCCACCTCCGCCGCGCCTTCGCGCCCGCGCTTTCCCACCGCCGGGCCCACCCTGCCCCCTTCCTCTCCCGCCTCGCGTTCTTGTCCACCTCCGCATCCCCGGATCAGGCGGCGGCGGCGGCGAAGAAGGGGGAGGCTGCTGCGGGCGGGGCCGGGAAGGGAGCGGCGGCGGGAGAGGAGGAGGAGGAGAAGAAGAAGGGAGGCGACGCTGGTGACGCGAGGAAGGAAGGGGAAGACGGCGGCGGCGGCGGCGGTGAGTACGTGAACAAGGACACCGGCGAGATCGGCGGCCCGCGCGGGCCCGAGCCGACGCGGTACGGCGACTGGGAGCGCGGCGGCCGCTGCTCCGACTTCTGACCAGCTCACGCCGCGACGATGGAAGCTCCCTTCACACCGGCATGGCGTGATCTGTCAAGACATGTAGAAGATATGGTGTAGTTTTATCTATCGCAATCTGTGCTCCCCTTTCTTCTTGAATTATGAATAAATTGAAGTTGTTATGCAGGCCATGATTCTGAATTTCTGAATGTTTCAGAGTTTCAGAGCACTAATGCTCATGAATCTTACCATGGTAATCTCAAATTTTCTTATGTCGTTTGATGAATTGATGAATTGCTTGAGCTCTGTGATGAGGAATTGCTTGTTCTGTAAATTCAGTGCAAACCTGTGAGCACTTATAAATTATAATTTATCCCAAGAGTTCCTCCATGCTGAAGTTGTCTGTAATCTGTATCTTGGTCAGCTACTGTTTCATCTTCTATGTTTTCCAGAATTCCAGTAGCACCACATACCTTGTTGCTGTTGCTAGGTCGACACAGAAAAATTGCAAGTTGCAAGCTTGTCGATTCAACAAGGTATGTGGAAAAATCATTTGCTGTTCTGAAGTCAGATTCTAATCCATCAAGGGGACGCCGAAAAAGTTTCGCTTGCTGTTCTTGATTGTTCAGCTTGCATTTCGGTTTTCAACATTCCCTGAAAGTGCAGCTGCAGTACCCTCTGCATTTTAGCCTGATGCAGCCATGCTCCCAGGATGGTTCCAATCTGAAACTGCAGTAGATCAGTAACCTTGAACCATCAGAATATGCACTTGATATTGTTCACCATGATCATCAGTTCATCACGTTTTCCTCTTGAGAACTGATCTGAGCACCCCGGTTCCCCCTTTGTCTTTGTGCTGATACTTTTAGATAATAGAATCCATTCCGGACTTTGCTTCAAGAAATTAAATCCAATTGCTGGTCTTCAACTTACAAAATCACAACTTTGACAAAACACATGAAAACTACTTAGAACACCACCTAAAAACAGAGAAAACACTATTTGAAACTTCCATCTATTGTTGGTGAGGAAGTGTGTAACCATTGTTTCTGCAACGGCTTGCGAGTTGTACGTAATCCTTGTATTTCTCAAGGCATCAAATATTTATGCCAATTGAGTTTCGTTCACATGGCCGTCGGTGGTCGCTGACATCGAACCGAAGCGGAAGATAACGTCGGAGAGTAACTGAGATGCAAATCATTCGTTCGCCGGTACGTTTACCAAGGGGGCTCCAACGAATTTTGATCGCTCAAATTTGAATAATTCAAAAAGGAAACTATTCGAATAACTTCGCGTCGATGTCATGATTCTGATTTCACAGCTACAGCCCATGAAGAAGCCTGTCTACTATCTAGTGTCATCTGTCACCAGAGGAGCAGTGCAGTAGCATATCCCTGTCTGCTGCAAATCCCTACAGGATTGCCTCAAAATCATTGCTTTCCATTGACCACAAGATCTTTACTTGCATTTTTTTTTCCAAAAATGCAGTAGCATGCATGCACCATGCAATGCAAACAATTGAAATCCCTGGACAAAATATCAAAAAACTTTCGGGTAAATAACCCTGACCTGTCAGATGATTGATGCTAACATGATAACATCCATGCACGCGTTGCGTATCAACGCAGATGATTCCATCTTCAATTTCCCATTTCTCCCTATAAATAAGTCGCATTTGATCCAAATTCGTCTCGACCAGCGTGCACTGCTCTCACCCAACAATGTCCATTTCCATGACGTCGACGGCGGCGGCGGTCGCCGTGGCGCTCCTCGTCGTCGCCGGCGGCGCCGGGCTCGCGGCGGCGGGGACGTCGGACCTGTGCGGCCTCGCGGAGACGGCGTTCGGCGAGTGCACGGCGTACGTCGCCGGAGGGGAGCCCGCGGTGTCGCGCCGCTGCTGCCGTGCCCTCGGCGACATCAGGGACCTCGCCGCCACCGCCGCGGAGCGCCGGGCCGTGTGCGCGTGCATCCTGTCGGAGATGCTCGCCGCTGGCGACGGCAGGGTCGACTCCGGCCGCGCCGCCGGCCTCCCCGCCGCCTGCAACGTCCGAGTCGGCTTCATCCCGACCAGCCCAAACTTCAACTGCTTCAGGTAAATTACAAGAACTCCCCATTACGCTTCAAAAAATAAAAACATTTTAGAATTCTTTTTTCTTCATATGAGCTGATTTTGTTTTCAAATTCTTTTGCAGGGTTCGTTGAAGAATGAACAAAGCATCAACACATGGAGGAGTTACAATTTGAAAACCATTGCAACCTTCAAGCTTTACATTGTTCTTAAGTTTCACCATTGTTTGTGTTTCATCTTAAGAATATTATAAGCAATACATTCTCAATCTTCAGTTCATCAGTCTCTTTCGGCTTTGGCTAGTGCAGCTTTGCTTTCGTGAATTCTCAAGCATTAATGATGCAGTTTTGAGCTTGGTTTGTCCTAACCCAATACACGCGTCACCTGGAAATTGACATTACACTTGCACAAACCTTCACTGGGCCTAACAAGTTCGGCCCATTAAGCCCAGATGCTATCTGGGCCTCACGTGCCGATTAAACCTGGCCCAAATGATTACTTAGACCTCATCAAGTTGCGTCCTTTTCTAATCATTTTTCTTCAAACTATTTTTTTCTTGCAAAGTTGCAAGAAACCGCAGAAATCAAACTTCATTATGAAATAAGGGTCTGTTCACTTTGATGCCATTTTCAACCTTACTAAATTTTGGTAAAGTTAAAAAAAAAAGTGGCTACATTTAGTTTGCTGCCAAATTTTGGTAACTATATAAGAAATCATATCAGGCAACTATGCCAAAATTTTGGTAATGCCAAAAATTTAGTAAGGTTTTTTTTTATCAAAGTGAACAGGTCCTAAATATATGGTTCCGTAGTCCGTACAGTTTACGTACAGAAATGGTCTTCCAGCATTATGGTTGCGTAATTCTGAACTTCCTTCGGCCCAAATTCATCAAGATATACAGCAGCCAATGTTGTACAGGTCAATTTTCTGCTTCTGTCTGACCTGTTCCATGGATAAAATTTGTCGTTAGGAACAGTTAGTCAAAATTATTATTTAATGAACGTTATTTTTCCCAGATTACTGGGGAACTATAGTGATAAGCAGCAGTAGTAGTACTTTGTGCTCACCTGTTGATAATAATTAATTGAGCAGGTGATTGCTCTGATTAAGATTGGTACTTGCTCCGATAGAGAACTCTACGGATTAACTTTGTTTGTTGGATATATGTCCAATACTCAATGTTTACTTTTGTAAGGTGTACCTTAATTTGGCACTGCCCAAGAAAATTTTGACAAGTACTTATTTTTTAAAAATATTTGATACCGTTGAATTTTAGATATAAGTTTGACTATTCATCTTATAAAAATATTATCTATATGACTTATATTTTTACACATTTGCATACGTATTTTGATTAAGACGAATGGTAAAACATGTTTAAATGTCATCAAACATAAAGAAAAGGGAGGGAGTAATCGATCTCTCTTCCATTCTTACAGCATACTGGTAATAATTACTAGTATAAAACCATGTTCAGACATATAGAGAATTGGAATATGATTCTCTACCCAACATATGCATAAACCTGACTGTTGTTATTCCAAAGTTACAAAGCTAATTTTGCTTGGTTTTGAAAAGAATTTGCAAAGTTAATTTGGACTTCAAAATCCACCCTCCTGAAAAAAAAGAAATCCATGGGTGGAATGAGAAGTTGAAAAGAAAAATCTTTTGGTCATGTGCTTGCATGGTCTCAGTCAACCAAAGACATTTTCCCTATATATCTTTACCAATCTCTCCCAGCTTGCAAGGCATCAATCTTGAAAGCTCCTCTCTCTTTCTTCCTCTCTCGTCGTCGTGTCGTCGCCGCCGTCGCCGGAGATGATGAAGCACTTGGTGGAGTCGGAGAAGGCGGCGGAGAATGCCGGGCCGACGTACCGGAACGTGCTGGCCAAGGACGCCGGGCTTCTGCGGCCGCCGCCGGGGGTCGAGAGCTGCTGGGACGTCTTCCGGTAGGTGATCGCGCGGTCTTCATTTCTCAGCTCCGGCGATCGCCGGCGGATGGCCGGAGACATGCAGCTCCATTTGTTTTTGTCATTCATAGCCTGATTCGATCGGTTTCTTGAATCGTCTTCGGATAATTTTGCAGCAATTCGGTGGAGAAGTACCCGGACAGCCCGATGCTCGGTCGCCGGAGAGTCGTCGACGACGGCAAGGTGATTAATTCAATATTTCTTTTCCCTTCGTTTGAACAAGAATAATCTTTCATTATTTCACATTGGTTTCTGCTCTAGCTTGTAGCTATAATTCTCTCTTCTGCCTTCTACTTCTACAAAATGTATTGCTACTTTGATCATTCCAAGCACCACTTTATTATTTCGGATACACATGTGGAGTAAAACTTATTTTTTTTTTCGGTTTAATTAGTTCTCTAATCTGTATAGTTCATTTGCAGGCAGGTGAATATGTTTGGATGACTTACAAGGAGGTTTATGACGTTGTGATGAAACTTGCTGCCTCCATTAGCAAGTCAGGAATCAGCAAGGTAATCAACTTCCCAGATGAAGATTACCTCCTTAAAACTTTTGCCGGCAGTAACTTTGTTTTTTTTATAAAAAAAAAACGTAATGCATTCAGTAACATTTAACTGAATGGAAATATTTGTTAAGCAGATCTTGATTCCAAAGATACATAGTAGTAAATGAATAATTGGCAATAGTTTATGGCTCAGGTTCATTGGATATATATATTTAGATCATCATCAATGGCCATTTGTGCACGTCTTGATCACCAGCAGTTGGTTAGCTGCAAACCTGAGCCAGCTGCCAAATTTAATATAATGTGAGCAATTCATGAGATTGTGGATGCATATGCATGCTTACCATGAATTTTGGATCTTACAAAATCTTGATAGTTTTTAAAATAAACTGCGCAGGTTGTGCATCAATCAAACAAGATTGGATTATTTCAGATATGTGAGTTGACTTGGTAGTAAATTAACCATTAAGCATCAGGAAAGGCTTATTTATTTTGATTCGTTATAAGCATAACTTAATTAATTTAATCTTAAAACACAGTAACTTGACATTGCTGAAACAAGATTTACCACCAGAGATGAAGAGTTCCACTCTTGTTGTCATCAGGATGATGACAGAGGCACTCACAACCATAACTTTGGCAGGTTGTGAGCAAAAGTCCACTGTTTGAATCTTCCAAGGTTAAAAAGTCTGAAGTCTGAACAATTCATTACCTCCAGGAGAGTTGAATTGATCATGTTCTAGAATTTGGATAGCTCCATTGTCATGTACTAGTATAACCTGGCATCTTTCAGTTCAATCTCTTTGGATATCATATTCCACAATTCAGAAAACATTCAGTTTGTTTGAAAAGTAATTGACTGAAGAATCCTCTCATTTGCTGATGAGTAGTACTATGTTATTGGATGGGAACAGTTGACTAGTTCAATCATTTTAGATTTTACAATTCAAATGTTATCAAACTGAATAAATTACCAAATTTCAGGGTGAAAGCTGTGGCATCTACGGCGCAAACTGCCCTGAATGGATCATCAGCATGGAGGTTTACTTCAACCATAAATTACTCATCACTCATGCACATGACCAGTTTTAACCATTAAGTTGCATGAACAGTTTTAACCATTAACCTTAATCTGTTACTCTGATCTGACCATTTTCAGGCTTGCAATGCACTTGGGGTTTCATGCGTGCCTCTCTATGATAGTCTTGGTAAGCACATAAACGCATGTGCAATTCTATAATTGATGAGAATTCTTTTAACCATTCTTGAAGAGTTCAAGATACCGATAACCATAAATTAACACTTCAAAGTACATCTACCTCAAGGGTAGTAAAAAGAGCTCAAGAATTAAGATTAGCTCTTCCTTTTCTTCTATTTTTTAATATATTTTTTTTGTGTTTCTGTTCTAGGTGCTGGTGCAGTGGAGTTTATCGTGTGCCATGCTGAAATCCAGATTGCTTTTGTGGAAGAGAGAAAAATCGCAGAGGTAATTCGACAGCTTTTCCAGTTTTTTTTAACTAGAAAAAATGCATGTGAGTTGCAACGGGTAAAGTCTATTTTAATATTATTATTGCTATATAGTTTAGTTAAGATGAAATTCACTGTGTGAGTTCGCTTGGATATATACTCCTCCGGTTCTATTTTAATTGACGTTTTGGACAATGACACGGTCTACAAGATACATCTTTGATCTTACTTTTCTATTATAATATATATAATAAAATAAATGCATGTTTACTTTTATTATAGTACTTTAAAAGACAAAATATGTATATGTTGTTCTAGTTTCTTTAGACTGAATATTTTTAAAGTTATTGATGGTCAAAGTTATAAAAGTTTGACCTCAATTTTGTCCAAAACGTCAATTAATATGGAACCGGAGAGAGTATATTATTAGAAAATCATGAGCTGCAGTTAGGAGTCTGATCGTCTCAAGTTTTTTTAAATAGATTTCTTATGTAATTCCTTATGTATTACCAAAAGTGAACGATCTTAAAAACTAACTCAAATGTGGAAATGTATTTCCAAAAGCAAACAAACTTAAAAAACGACTTATACACGGATGACGTACCAAAATATCGGCAAAAACATCTTCAATTTTTATAATAGTAGAGATAGAGAAGAGATAGGCTGATTTGGAAGGGGGAGAAAATGTAATTTGGGCTGGCCTTTCTTCATCTACGGCCCATATAATCCCAATTTGGCCCATATAGTCGATCTACATTTGGCCCGCTTTATTTAGTCTTGTCTCGGCCCGGCCCAATAAGATCTCGAGCATAGGCCGTTTCGCCGGGCCGACGGACGGCGAAGCGCCGGTGGCATTTCCGGCGACTCCGGCCTAGCACGGCCACGCCGCAGTTGCCCCGCGCATCCGCGCACGCCGGAGCTATGCCTCGCCGTGCTCCGGCGATAGGCCGGCGCGCTCTCCGCAGGTGGCGGCGCTCGTAGCGGTTTGCCCCGCGAGAGGGGTGGGGGGGGATGGGGATGGGCTATGGTGGTGGTCCTGGCCGCCGCGTTGCCCCGCGTTCGGCAGCGCGCGTCCTCCCGATCGGCAAATCCGCGCAGCGCGATGAATTCTGCAGGTTTTGGTTTTGCTCTTTTTTTTTTTGCGCGAGTCGAGATGATCCGTACTCATCGAATTTATAGCAAATGATTGGGAATTTGGGATGGCTAGTTCCTCTGGTTAATCTGCTCTGCTCTACCTTTTTTGGGCGAATTCCGATTCGCTTAGTGTGTATCTGTGATACAGAATATTAGTTTGTATCTGTGATACAGAATATTATTCTCGTTACTCCTTTAGTGTTGGAGTATTAGTCTTTGCATCGTTTAGTTCCTGGATTGTACGTGCTCCCTGTTGAGCGAATCATGTAATTCGTTGAAGCAAATACAGGATTTTATTCCATTATTGAAAAAAAAACTGTGATACAGAATATTATTCTCATGTATCTGTTATTTGAGATTACTGAGTAGACGCATATGCAGAGAGTGTTTGTAATCATTAAGAGACCACATGCTAAGCTGATGCAGTATTCGTTAGAAATTTATGTAGTGCTGAACTACTGAGAGCTCTCGAGCTCTCGATTGTGTCTCGAATGAGGAAATAGTTGAGTCCAATTGACCAAATAGCGTGAGATGCAGATGGGTGTTTTGGGTAATTTGATTAGGGAGAAATCTGTATGTGGCAGTGCTTACTATGGTTGCTTTAAACTTGAAAGTATCCTAATTCTTGTTAATGGTTTTAATGATGGCAGCTCTTGAAAACTTGTCATGCCACATCAAAGTATTTGAAGAGTAAGTTCATTTTATACCCATAATTATATCAATTAGTCGATTCCCAATCACTGGAGTATATGAATTAACTTTTATTTTCTTATCTTTATTTAGCAATCATCAGCTTTGGAGGTGTGACAAATGACCAAAAAGAGGAGGCTAAAAATCATGGGATGTCCATATTCTCATGGGAGGAATTCCTGATCATGGTAATTTATAAATTGTTTCAACTTACTTAGTCCTTTATATTGGTATAATTCAAGATTATATTGAAGAATTAAACTTGTCTGACTAATAATGTGTTATTTACCAGTTATATGACATGCTACCGAACCATTACAAATTTACAAATGAACTTGTCTGACTTTTATGCTTATAGGGAGGTGATCATCATTTTGATCTTCCTGAAAAGAAGAAATCTGACATCTGCACAATAATGTACACAAGCGGGACAACTGGAGACCCTAAAGGTGTTATGATATCAAATGAAAGCCTTCTTGTTAACATCACTGGTGCTGATTGCGTGACCAGGTCTATTGGCGAACCTGTGAGTGTAGAATATATTTGTATTCTGTAATAACCATTGCTATGTACTATCTTGAATGAATCATGCAACTCATTTTATTTGCCCTCCATTGCTCTTTTGCAGTTTGATCATGATGATGTTTATATATCGTATCTTCCACTGGCTCATATCTTTGATAGAATCTTTGAAGAATTATTCATTTCACACGGATCAAAAATTGGATTTTGGCGTGGGGTATGATTTATGGATACTCCTTGTTTCTATTTAAGCTTTCAATGGATGCATACTCAAATAGTGTCATATATGTATGTAGGACGTCAAGCTGTTGGTCGATGACATTGCAGCTCTAAAACCAACAGTATTCTGTGCAGTTCCACGAGTACTTGATAGAATATACTCAGGTAAATTCCAAACGTACACATTTATAGCTAATATCATGTTAATGCCCACTAGTTGATTTCCTTGTATGGAAAGTGGAACTCAATGACTATACATGTCTCAGAATTTATTTGTCTAATCAATTTATCTGATACCCTGCCATATTTCTGTTCATGATGTTAACATGCCTAGACTACTATTATTTTCATGGTCTCATTATTTCTAAATGCATTAATAAAATTTTCATATGAAGTATTGAAGTGAACATGTGAAATATAAAAATATACTATAACAATAAGGTCCATAACAGTTTACTGGAGGCCTTACTTGAAATTATTTCAAAACTAGCTCTTTAGATTGAAAATTTTTGACAAGGATGCATAAGGGAACAAACCAGAAACTGTTAATTGTCAAATATGGTGGAAATGTTTTGCAAGGATTGATCTACTAGCTACTGAACTCTGCGTAAATGAAAGTCCTTTAATGTAGAAATTCAGTGGAAAGTTGCACATAATGTCTAGCTGTACTTGCAATATTTTGTCCTTAACTAATATTCGATGCATTTTGTTTATGTAGGTCTTACAGGAAAGATCTCGTCTGGTGGCATACTGAAGAAAGCTTTATTCAATATTGCTTACAAGCTGTAAGTCTGGATATGACTATACTGAGAACTCCTTTTACAAGGCTTTCCAAAAAGAATTTCTTTTACAGAACTCTTGAGTTGATGGATTGGACAATATAAGTTTCTTCTGATATTCTTATGTCCTTTGACCTTTTCTGAACTTTCATCATTTTTTTCAACTTATTTGTTCAGTTGATTATGTCATGGTGTGATACAAATTCTGAATTAGTCATAATTATCAAATGAACAGGAAACTGGACAGCATGAGGAAAGGAATTAAACACGAGAAAGCAGCTCCATTTTTTGACAAATTAGTTTTCAGCAAGGTACAATTAGCTAGTTCAGGAGCATTTTTTTATCACTTCATCAGATAAAATTTAGACTGTCAATGCATCTTCATATGTATATCATTGCCCTAACTTAGTGTTTATCCTTTAGGTGAAAGAAAGACTGGGTGGAAAACTACGTTTTATCGTGTCTGGTGGTGCCCCTTTATCTGTAGCAGTGGAAGAATTTTTGAGGGTTGTGACATGTGCAAGTGTTGTTCAAGGCTATGGTATATGCTTGCTTCACCATTCAATTCCTTTAGGAAGTATTTAATCAAGCGCTTCATATGTTGGTTGATATAGTAACACTTTTAAATAAAATTATGAAAAACCAACTTCAGGGCTCACGGAAACTGGTGCGGCGTCATTTGTTGCAATACCAAATGATTTTTCCATGGTTGGGACTGTTGGTCCACCAGTTGAGCATTTGGATGCACGTCTTGAGTCAGTTCCAGAGATGGGCTATGACGCTTTGTCGAGCATTCCTCGTGGAGAGGTATGTGTAAAAGGAAGTGTTCTATTCTCAGGATACTACAAAAGGGAGGATCTTACACAGGAAGTCATGATTGATGGATGGTTCCACACAGGTTAGCTGTTTCTATAATCTCTGGGACATGCTAGTTGACTATAATGGCATTATTTTTTTCAGATGATGACTATATGCCAAATACCATGTATAATACAGGGGATGTTGGCGAGTGGCAACCAAATGGGTCCTTGAAAATCATTGACAGGAAGAAAAATATATTCAAGCTTTCACAGGGAGAATATGTTGCAGTAGAAAATCTCGAGAATGTGTACGGGGTTCTCCAAGAGATAGATTCGGTAACTACTATACTAACTACTCACTTTTTCAGGGGATCGTCTCAAATTTTATGTTTCTATCTGATATGAGCCTTTTTTTCCCTATTATATTTCCCATATGTTTTTTATGTTTGTTGAAACAATTGATGAATGTATACAGCACCTGATCTGAAAAATTAGATGAAGTTAAAGTGTCCCTGAGTGGGAAAAAAGGTCTTTATAGCATAATCTGCTGATATCACAATATGGTTTTAAAAGCACCAGTTTAATTTTTTTTAGCCCTTTAGCGTTTTGATTAAAATGCATATCAAACAGTAAATTCTTATGAGCATCTAACTGAACCATGTCATGGCACCTGGCTTACATGCTCAATAGCACTAAAACTACACAAAAATGGAAATAATGGCTTCGCCTCAAAATTGTTTACTGTTTGGTAGTGTCTCATGCTCATTTGGTTCTAACCATTTTAGAGGCTATATAGTGCATGTTTGTTTGGAAATGTGATGCACCTGACTACCCAATGCATGAATAATTGAATCTTTTTTTTGGGCAACGTTTTGTTTGTAGATGTCTTGTTTTTCATTGTATCTTCTAATCTATTTCAGATATGGATTTACGGAAATAGTTTTGAATCTTTCCTTGTTGCTGTCATAAATCCCAACCAACAAGTTCTTGAGCATTGGGCTGAACAAAATGGTATCTCTGGAAGTTTATCTGAATTATGTGAAAATTCAAGAGCTAAAGAATATATTCTTTCAGAACTCACGAAGATTGCAAAGGAAAAGAAGGTAAAGTTTTGTGGCATGTAAACCCTACAATTTTCTACGCATTTCAACGGGGTTAGTATTTTTAAATGTTTATATATTTTTTACCTTGCCAGCTGAAAGGCTATGAGTTCATAAGAGCTGTACATCTTGACCCATTACCATTTGATATGGAGCGTGATCTTATAACCCCAACATACAAGAAGAAACGACCACAGTTGCTTAAGCACTATCAGGTTGGATGCCATACCAAAAACAGTTTCTCTGTTCTGCAATTCCATTCTTTGTCATCACCATCATTTCTTGAAGTCTTCTAGCTAATGCAAGTTAATATAATCTCTAATATATTTATTCGTGCATTGTTTGTTCAGGGAACCATTGACGCACTCTACAAGATGGCAAAGTAAACGAGCAATGCTACAGACAATTGAAGAAAGGCTTCACCCATTCATGTAATCTCACCATGTTGGTATATATATAAATCCAATTCACATGTCATGTACCTAACCACTCATAAAAGACTGGAAACAGATCATAGCCTTGTCTTTCTTGTGCTGAAATGATTACTGTCAGAAACGGTGTGACAGGGACTGTCTTTTGTTAGATCATTCTGTTAAGTCATCCTATGTTTTGCACAACTTAATTATTACTACTATTCCCTTAGGCTAGAATCTCATTCTGTGCATGTACTACTACTATTTCTGATTGCTTAGCAAATAATGATAAGAAAAAAAAAGGGGGGGGGGGAACTATTCCTTGTGCGGCTGTGACCCACAAACTCCCTTTTCTTGGGTCAGCACGCAGTCGTAAGCACAAGCTCTGAAGCCTCTGCGTCACTGTCATCCATCTCCTGCTCTACACACGGAAACAGGTTTGAAGATTCCTGGTCAGTTCTTCCAACCTTCTAAGTTGACCTCTCTTTTGCCAATAGTATTGTGCTATTCTCCTCTTCTTTGATCCGTTTGACCAGTAGCAATTTGGAGTGGAGGGTTGACTGGTCAGCGGTCAACACTGTCTATATGAGCTTTTGAACTTTCCTAAGTCCACCAAACTTTGCCAAAAAGCAGTTCTATGGTGAGTGAATGCCAACACAAAAGATGCTACTAGTTGGTATCAAGCTTAAAATGCAACAGAGCATGTCATTATCCCAGTGAGAATAAGCATACCACATCAGGCTCCAAATATGTGATTGTTCTGGAAGGCATCGCATTAATACCTGCAATTTCGATGTAATATCCGTGAGCTTTGGAAAAGGCTGGAGCTAATTAGATCATCACACTTGTTATCTTTTATTTTCACAAGTCAAAAGTTCTGAGCTTTTGGCATGGTAGCTTAATGCTTATGGTGAATATGACATTAATTAAACAAAAGAAAAAGAAAAGCCTATGCGTGTTCCCTTTTCTTCCTCCTTTATTTTCTCCTTTGCAATGGAGATTGGAGCTCCTTTCTTGGAAACTCTTGTGTTTAATTTCTACACAACCAACTGAATCAGGGGGAAAAACAACAAGTTGACTTACAAAATGGAATCAAATAGTCTACAAAGTAGTAAAGCTTATGCAATTATGCACTGTAATATTCCCAAGATAAATGGAACCAGATGAGATTAATTGACATTAAAAACATAAAGTAGATCCATACTACTCCAAGTAATGCTTTCTTCTTTCGCAAACTACGAACTACCATAGTATACGATGTCAAGTTTTTCGGCCGGTACCGATACCGGGTGTACTTAGCAAATTCCTCCTGATCTCCCAGTAATAGCACTAGTACGATGATGAGTATGACCAAAGACTGGTCAACGGGGAGCAAGCACCCAGGAAAATAAAAGGAGAGAAATACAAAGGGAAAAAATAAGAATTAAACTTTGCATGGTTTCTGTTTGGTCAAACTTCTCTTCCTCTTACCAGCATATCATATCTCCCCAAACCCAACTAAGTTCAGAGTTCAGACCTCAGACAGCCATGGCCACCGGCCTTAAATTCATCTGTGCCCATAACCACATCTCTGATCTCTCTCCATGAATCCAACCCTAGCTTAGATCAATAATGTCCTTGCTAAGCTATCTCCTCCAATTCTGCTTCTGAATTTCTCCATTCTTTCCAGCAAGCTTACCAAAGCAAGCAAGCAAGCAGAGAAAGAACCGATCACCATTCCATTTCGCTTCTCTCCCAGTTCACGCAATCTTGCAGTGTTTGCTACATGGTAGGAAGTGAATAAAAAGACCTGATATCTGTCAGAGCTTTGTTTGTCGTCCTAGATCACTAATTTTTCAGAGTTTCAGACTTTGGGAGTTTGCTGCTGCCGTCTTGTTGGTCGCCTCTGCAACTTCTCTTGTGTTTCTCTGAACTTGCCATGCATGATCCTTCCATTGCTCCTGCCTGCAAGCTTGGCTCTTCAAATCTGCCATTGCAACATCGATCTTGCATTGCTTGCAACATCTGAAGTCTGAATCTGCAAGCTGATTGATCCAAAGCTACAAGAACAATCAGCTTAGCTTTCGCGTGTCGTGTCGTGTCCAAGAATTGTGCCCCATGGACGGAGGAGACATCCACCTGCTGCTGAGCATCCTCGCCGACGGCGAGGAGCAGGCCCGGCAGCTCGGCGAGCCCGCCGCGGCGGCCGACGACGAGTACCACGGCGGCGGCCGCGGGGAGGAGTACTACAGGGGCGTGGCGCGGCAGCTGCAGGGCACGCTCGCGAGGGCGATGGGCATCGCGAGGGCCATCGAGGCGGCGGCCTTCGCCGGCGGCGGCGGCGGCGGCGGCGCGTCGGGGTCGCGCGGCACCACCGGCGACCGCTCCGACTCGCCACGGTCGGCGGACGAGAGCTCGGGCCGGACGGCGAGGGACGCCGCCGTCGCGCAGCAAGAACGCCACCATGACACGATCAAGAGAAGGTGCGTGTGTGTGTTCAAATTCGTCTAAACAAAAAAAAATCTCTCTCTTTCAGTTCGTTTTAAAATTTCTCTTTCAATTTGCTTTAAAATCTCTATCACTGTCTCACACACACGTTTGGCATTTTGGCCGTCGTCACATCACTTTAATTTTTTTTAAAAAAATGGCGCGAAACTAAGGACATGCCCGCCACGCGTAAGTCGCCACTTAAGCAAATTGAGATAATGGATAGAGTATATTATCATCGGCTTGTCTTATCTGAAACTGAATAAGGATAAAATTCGTGTCACCCTTTCTAAGCCCCTATTTGTGTACATGGTTGGACTTGTTTAGAGCCTTAAACTTTTTTTTTGTTATAAATCTCTTGCCTTAATGTTAAGAATGGCTCTTATCAGTCCAGCTACAGTCTATAACTATAAGTCGTAGACAAATTAACGAAGTAATAAAAAAATAATATTCCCTCCGTTTTTTAATAGATAACGCCGTTGACTTTTTCTCACATGTTTGACCATTCGTCTTATTCAAAAAATTTACGTAATTATAATTTATTTTGTTATGAGTTGTTTTATCACTCATAGTACTTTAAGTGTGATTTATATCTTATACATTTGTATAAAATTTTTGAATAAGACGAATGGTCAAACATGTGAGAAAAAGTCAACGGCGTCATCTATTAAAAAACGGAGGTAGTATCTAGGTAAAATTTTACAAGTCAAGGCTAAAAAAATAAACCGTGGTAAAAAAACTCAAAACCAACTCTAAAATTTAATTTGCTAAAAAAACTAGGTTTAAAATCAAGTCACTGTTTTTTTTCTTTTTAGCAAAAAGGGCAAATGATCTACCTAATGCGTTATGGATGTAGATGAGTATGTATGTCGTCTCTGTGTTGTATCATGGTGCAATGTGAATTTTTTAGCTTCCAGTTCCACATGTTTTTGGTAGTTCCAAAATATCGATGTCTCCGGTTAATCAATGTCAGGGGGAAAACCCATTCGAAATATCATTGTGACTCTAAACAGAGGATATTTAATTTCCTAAAAAAAAGGCTATTTAATTTGTGGTTATTTGCTTAAATATAAAAAGAACAAATTCCGTTTTCAAACCAATCATATGCAACCGTCAAAAATATATTTGAAAAGGACCTAACCCCAAGGACGGGCAATGTAGAAATCCATGTCATAGTTCTTTGGTCAAAAGCATGGAAACAGTCATAATCATAAGTGGAAACAGTCATAATCATAAGCATACAGCTGTACTGAATTATTAGAATTTGCCTGAGTCAACCAAAGGAAAAAAAGGAGTCAAATATCATTGACTGACCATTTGGTATAATTTTCTTGGCTCTAAATCATCATACAGGAAGGGCCTGCCAAGATGGACAGAAAAATTCAGAGTGCCAGATGCAAGTTTGGAGGCTACACCAGATGATGGATTCAGTTGGAGGAAGTATGGTCAGAAGGACATCCTCGGTGCCAAATTCCCAAGGTTAGCTCAACATATCATTTTATACATGTTTTAATTTAAACCTTGGTAATTTTAAACATAAGTATATTTCTAAATATTTAGATTGGATGCATGAAAACATATTGTAGGTTAAAAAAATATTATAATAATTTTGTCAGGATTATTATTATTTTGAATAAAACTAGTGGTGAAAGATCAATTTTGAAGACTGTAAATACCCAAAACAGCTTGTTTCTTGACGGGAGGGAGTTAAACCTACAAAATTCATTCCCCACAAAAAAAAACCCTACAAAATTCACCATTATTTGAAGCCCCCATAGTTCCAAACACAAAAATCGAATCATTTTACAGCCTCATGGCTGACTCTACGGTTGATAAGCTTAAAAAAAATCGAAGCAGTCAAAAATAATTTATGGGTACAACTTTTATATAAGTATATTTAATGATTTAAAAGTTAATGATGAATTACTGATAAAACATGATATTTTTTTAAAAAATAAAGTTAAGTTTCAATTTTTATATTTTGGTTGTGGTTAACAAACGATAAAAGCTTTTGATTGGGAGGCCTAGTCCGAGCCCAATCGATTTATCGTGGCAAATTCATTTCTTAAAATTGGGTCAAAATTAACATTCTCAGTTTTTTAAAGCTTGTGGGCCGACAAAAAGAAAGTAAAAAAATGAACGGGCCAGATGCATGATCTGATGCCTCCTGTCACTGACACGTGTCGGATGGATTCGCAGGGGTTACTACCGGTGCACGTATCGCAACGCGCAAGGCTGCCCGGCGACCAAGCAGGTGCAGCGCTCCGACGCCGACCTCGCCGTCTTCGACGTCACCTACCAGGGCGCCCACACCTGCCACCAGAAGCAGCGCCGCGCCGCCGCCGCCGGCGACCAACCGCCTCCGCCGCCGCCGCAGGCCGACCCGAGCGTGGAGCTGCTCGTCAACTTCAGGCACGGCCTGAAGGTGGAGACCAACGGGCTGGCTCCTCCGCCGCCGCCGCCTCCGACGACGACGACGAACTTCCACGACGACCAGCACTTCTGCTTCCCCTCCATGCCGCCGTTCCACGCCGGGGTGGGGCCACCGCCGCCGCCGGACGACGCGCTAGGAGGAGGGTGTAATAATTTCTCCTCGCCGCCGTTCGTCTCGCCGGCCGGTTCGGCCGCCGGCGAGAGCTACTTCTCCATGGAGCACTCCTACGAGCCACGGGGAGGCGGCGGCCACTTCGTCATGAGCCGAGGGGACTCGTCGGAGCTCCACGAGGTCGTCTCCGCCGCCGCCTCCTCCTCCGCCGTGGTCGACCCTGCCGCCGCCGCCGGCGGGTTCGACTACCCGCTGTACCACGGCGAGGTCGACCCGCACCTGCCGTTCCCGCCATTGTTTGGCCACGCTTCCATGTACGGCCAATACAGAGACGCGTGATGAACCGTGCCACGTGTCACCTGACGTGGCTATGATTTTCGTTTTGTTAATTTGAACTTCCTTTTTTTTTTGTATCTTGATGACATGATAGGCAGCAGTATGCATGGAGTAGTAATCAGTTAGTTTGTTCTTGTTTTATTTGTTTAGTGTTGATGAGTCGTTACATGACACTTGTTAACTATTGAGGATTTTAGAGTCACTCAAAGAGGATTCTAGTTAAGTTCTAGTCCATAATCAGTTCTTCCTTTTGGAAACCTTATAATTTGAATTTGAGTTTTGTGAAGAAGTATTGGATATACGTCACTATATTGGTGAAATGGTGAGATGTCATGGAATTAATTAGCAGTACAGTGCACACAGTTTCCTTGTAGTTTTGGACAAATACCTTGTAGTTCAGTGATCTTTAGGAGTACTTATCCAGACTTGATAGATCACAGTGACCTGATTGTATGAGAACAGTATATTCCCTATTGGTTAACTGCATTCAGTGAGCAAAGCTGGTCACTTTCACTGTCAGTAATGCATCATCCATGCAAGTGTTCAGTTGCAGGCTTCCCAGGTTGATTGAAAACAACTGCTCAATCATTCATTGGATAAGATTAAGTCCTTTCAGGTGACACTGTCCTACTGAACATTGCACTCTGACAGAGAGTCATCAGTACCTACAAGAATGTATCCCCCCTCTTTTAGAAAAAAAATCAATATTTTAGTTTGATTTTGAATATAGTCACATTCATAACTATAAGTTGTGACACAGCCTCATCTTTTGACTTATGATTATACTTATAAGCTAAAATTTGAATTTTAAACCTTAAATTTGGAGTTGATTTTGAGGTTTTTTTCATCGTACTTTATTTTTTCGATTTTACTTTTAGATTGCTAAGAAAACGTATATAAAAGTTTTATTTACAAATTATTTTTGTTTGTAAATATAACGTTTCGCTTATTCCGTTAATAAACGAAACGATGGCCTCCACAAGTTTTTTTTTTTAAAAAAAGATGGATGGAATACACAAGAAGATGAATGAAGAAAAGGTTTGGCAGGAGCAGGGACCCTGATAACCTGATCAATTAGTGAGTAATCATCTTCCCTCTACCAAACGGCACTAAGTTGTAGTGTTATGGTAGTGGACAAGATAAGCCTGAATCCGGCAGCCTGCTTCCACAAAAAGATTGTTCTTCAGTAGCAGCAAGATTCGGCAAGCCTGCGTGACTGCCACCACAAGTTGCTCCCTTGCTGTGTAACCTTCTTTAGGCTTAATTAGAGGTAGCCCCGATTATTTCTAAGCAGAAACGGCAAAGATGTTGTAATCACACAGTTAGGACATGTTCGGTACAGCCCCAACTCCTAAATTTAGCTTCAGGAGTTGGGTCTAGAGTGGAGTTGTGAAGCTCCCTAGATCCAGCTACACAAGTCAGTTCATTTTGTGAGAGAGCTTTACCCAGCTTCATTCTCAGTTTTGGTAGAGCTGAAACTGTTTGGCTGAGCTCCAGCTCCAAGAGGGGTGGAGCTAGAGCTGGAGCTGTGCTAAATAGGCCCTTAAATACCTATTAACAACCTGCTAAATTTAGATCAGTATAAAACACGCTTCTAATTTTACCGTGCGCTGGAGGCTGCAAAACCCATCGGATCTTATTCGATTAATGCCCCTAAAAAGTCAAAAGTATTATTCCACACTTATCACTACAAAAAGATTGAGAGAGATTTAGAGATAGGAGGATTGAGAGGGATTTGGAGAGAATTAATTCCATGACTATTGAGGTGTGAAATTAATCCACCTTAATCCTATTATAATCCCTTGAGGATTAGCCGAACAATGAAATTTTACTATTTTAAATGTGTTGGTTGGGGACAAGACCACTATAGCTTTGTGCAATCTATAGTTATACCATTGACGTATGGACTACAGTAAAATAAGTCGTCTATATTAGTGACTTAAAAAGCTTCATTAGGGTTGAAGAGAGATTTTCAACACATATATTAAATAAGAAAATATATTAGTATATGATTAATTAAGTATTAATTATTACAAATGTGAAATATATGTTTATTGTTGTGTTAGAGGTATACCACGTGGACCTTCGGCTGGGCCTACTGAAACCAAGGACCTAGGCGAAGGACTCAAGCCGGGGGCACGCGGCGAAGGCCGAGAAGGCACCCACATGGGCGAAAGCCACATGGCGAAAGCCGTGGCATGAAGTACGCGGGCTTCACTAAATGCGGACCTTGTTGGAGGGCCATACGGCGCGAAGACTGCGGGACGAAAGCCTTTGCACGAAGGCATGGGTTTCGCCAAGTACCAAACCTCATCGGGAGAAGGCCTAGCGGGCCATCGTGTCTTCCAGAGGTTTCGCCAACAATTGGGCCTAGCCACTTAGCCCATTAGGGGCCCATACATGTAAATTCTATGTAAAACCTAAACCCTAATGATGGAGGAGTCTATAATAGAGCTATAAATAGGCCCCTAGGGCCATGTAACAAGGGGATCTAAAAAATTTTTACTAAGCAATACAATTATCTTTTTTTCCAACCACTGTTGAGAGAACCACGTTTTTCGACGTGACGCAGTTGTCGAAAACGACAACATGTTGTTTTCTAAATAAATTTCTATATATAATTTTTTTGTTTCACAAAACATATCAAATGTGAAAATGAGGAGGTTAATGTTTGGAGTTAAGATTAGAACAGGGTCTCCAAACTTCAACGTCTTCATTTTCCGTTAGCATATTTTAAAAACTGTTAAATGGTGTGTATTTAAAAAATAAGTTCTATATAAAAGTTGTTAAAGAATCAAATAGATTTTTTTTTCAAGTTTATAACAATAATACTCCCTCCATCTATTTTTGATAGTCATATTTCCAAATCTGAAAATTTTATTTTTGATAGGTATATTTCAATCCAACAACATATCATCTTAATGATTTTCTCGAATTTAATGCGTGACTCTCCATTCTTCCACACATGATTGGCTATATGGGCTTTGAGAAATGTAAATATTAATGAATCGCTTGTTTACGATGAATGACTAGTAGCATGCTTAAATAAATGATAAGTAGAATTACTTATCCTTGGTCTGTGTGTCAAGATGAAATATGACTATTAAAAGTAGATGGAGGGAGGTAATGAATTTTCTCGTTTCGCGTGCGCTGTAAATCTTTCTCCACCATCAGGCCGGCGATCTGGCTCCGTTCGTTGGACACCGTGCGGGTAAAAAAGGGAGGCGCCGAGGCGGAGGAGGACGGCGGGTGGGCGCAGCGCAACGGCGCAAGTGGCGAGAAGGAAAACTCGTGCTTCCGCCGCGATTTTCCCCCCACTTCCACCACTAGACTATTTACGTCGCCCCGCCTCGGCCTCGGCCTCGTCCTCCGCCTCCTCTGCCTCGGCACGCGGAGAGGTGGAGAAGGCGAACGAGAGAGAGACACCGCCAGTAGCAGCAGCAGCAGACACTGCGCGAGAAAGCGAGCGCCAAAGCACAATAAACTAGGGAACGCGCCGCCACGCCACGCCACGCCCACCACCCCGCGCCCGCGCCCGCCGAGACACCGCCGCGCCGCGCCGTGTGCCACGCCACGCCGCGCCGCGCTCAATTCCCCACCGCCACCGCCACCGCCGCCGCCGCCCTCCCCCTCTTCTCCCTTCCGGGTTTTTGCCTTTTTACCGCCCCGCTCTGCCCCCCCCTTCCCCACGCCGCGCCGCCCTCCTCCTCCTCCGCCTCGAACCGGGGCCGCGGCACCCCGGCTGGATCTGGGCCCGAACCCCCGATGGCGTTCGGCGGACTCGCCCTCGCGCTCGCGCTCCTCGTCGTATCAGGTAATCGATCAATCAATCAATCCCCTCTCCTCTCGCCCTCCCCCGCCGCGTGCGAATTTGTGGTGGGCGGAACGCGCTTCGGTTTTTGGTAGGATCATTCCGTGGAATCATCGCTGCGTTGGGTAGCTATGTATGTGTCTGCGCTGATTTGCGCGTGTCGTTTTTGGTGTTTCGTTTGTTTGCAGTGAACTTGCTCCAGGTTGCGAGCTCCGATGGCGACCACGCGCGCTGCGAGGGGGTCGTCAAGGGCTGGGCGGCCTCGGTTGCGGGGAGCGAGGGCAAGGATGGGGACAAGCTGAGCCTCAGGGATCTGCTCTTCTTCCTTCACATTCCTAGAACCGGTGGCCGTACCTACTTCCACTGGTACGATGGGGACATGCATAGTAGCTTGTTTCATCGTCATCAAAGGATGTGTGCATTTCACTCATGCTAGTTGTTTTTGGCAGCTTCCTGAAAAAGCTGTATACCAATGCTGAGGAGTGTCCGCGATCCTACGATAAGCTGCGGTTCGACCCCAGGTAGAAAAGTTTGTTCTCTGTTTTTGTTCTATTGTATATTTGTCAAGCTTTATGTTGGCCAACCAAATGAGAATTAAAATAAACTAGATTGTCTTTTGTGTATTACTAATATTATTACTTTACACTATGTACTATCCTATTCAGATTCAGACAATAACATTCCCATGGATTAACATGTTTTCTGTGGTTTAACACTGATTTAGAGTATTCCCATGTATTGGAATAACATTCTTAGTGCTTATCTGACTGAAAACAGTAGATATGGTTTACCTTTATACGGATTACCAGGCATTCAATACATCTTGAACAACGTAATCAACAACTTATATGGCTATCGTGAACACGTGTCAGTCATGCGAGAAAATTGTGATGGACTCAAGATTGATTGTTCAATTAAAGCATCTGATATGTAATTATCCACTAGTATTTGCTGTACAAGTTGAGCGGCTTCATACTCCTGTTTATTTCACATGATTCTGCAGTTACAATTAATAATGATGTTTTATATATCTTTGTGTCAGCCATCCTGATTGTAAGCTGGTTGTTAGTCATGATGACTATAGCTTCATGTCCAAGCTGCCAAGTGAGAGGACTTCTGTTGTCACAATACTAAGGAACCCAGTTGACCGAGTATTCAGCACATATGAGTTCTCGGTCGAAGTTGCAGCCAGATTTCTTGTGCATCCAAACTTAACATCTGCAAAGTTAATGACTAGCCGTGTGTTAACAAAATCTCGTGCTGTAAGTACATTGGATATATGGCCTTGGAAATACTTGGTCCCGTGGATGAGAGAAGATCTGTTTGCCAGGGTATGTTTACTTATTTCAGCCAAACCTTTTGCTTAGTATCATCCTTTTCCACTAGTAGGAAAACAACTAGGACAAACTATCAAGCCTGCATTTCTAGATATTGAACCTTTCTATGCCAATGTATTCATCCAATATCAGGTTCTAGAAGGCGCACCTTAAATCTAGTCTTCACCAAAAGCAATCAAACAAACACACATTGCAGCAAAGATAAAGTAGTTGATCCATTCTAACAGTAAATTGAACATCTGCTGCATGGAGCAGACTATAATCAAGCCTCTATTTAATTGAACCTTTATATGCCAATGTATTTATCCAACATCATGATCCACAGGTGCATCTTAAATCTAGTCTTGATTAGAAGCAATCAAACAAAAACACATTGCAATAATCTAGTCAATTGAACCTTTGCTACATGGAGCGGAGACTATATACTTGAACCTTGGAAGCCATCTAGGACATGCCAGTTTCCCAAGAATCAATTTTATTTAACTCCAAGTATCTAAGATAATGCTTATGCTCCAGTGTTTGAATAATAATAATTTAAGGTTTTGTCAGCAGGAAGGTTTTGACTTTCAGGTGGGATCTCTTAAGCTTTTGTAACACCTGAACATCGGTTTTAGTGTCATTGTCCCGCTATTAGTTTACACTTAAGTTGATGTGAGTGATCAGGAAAATAGAGTTCAGAAATATTTGGAATCAACACACATATAATTACCATTATTATGATGATGATGTTTTCATTGCCTGATGCCTATACTAAACCATTTTTGCAATAATATAAAAGCATACTGTTAATTTGGCAGAGAGATGCTAGGGGGATTGATAAAGTGAGAAGTAGCCACAGGGTTAATGCATATGATGTGGAGGATATGGTTATGCCACTACACCAGTACATTAATGATCCTGTTGCGCATGAAATCATTCATAATGGAGCTACCTTTCAGGTATGATGACTTGTCTATGCTGTTAGTTGGTCACTGTCTCTAATGCATCTCTCAATGTGTTGGAAACTATAAACTTTCTTTGTGCAATTGCTTTGACCCTGAAATATTGGTCTGCCTGCTAACAAATCACGCAGTAATACTTACTGTGGTGGTGAATTGGTAGTGCCTATCGTTAATTGCATGTCTTCCTGATATGTCTGATGAATGTTTCATGCCTATGCAACTTGAAAATTTAAGTTAGACACCATGAAATAGTAGAAAAATGTGACAAACTTAGAAATTTTGATTAAATGCAAAAAGTTCTTTTGCATAACCATTGTGCAGCTGTACTCCTTTTTGTTCTTTTGCTTGTTGGGACTTGATAGTAAAATTTAGAACAGTGATGGTAGTGCTGTAGGTATTGTCTAAATGAAACTTATATCCATGCCATTCTTTTTAATCTACATTCTTTCTGTTTTTTATCATACAAGACATAAACCACTTCATGTTATTTACCAGTTGACAGTAGACCATGTCCTCGCTTGTTAAATCTCAACATTTTTCACTCTGGCTGCTTTACCAGTGGCAACTTCACATTCCTTTTTTCTTTTGTTTTTCCTTTACCCCTTGTTTGTGAATAACATACACCAACTATTTGACAAGAGTCCTTAGGATAATAGCCTATTTGGATAGAATGACCAAAAATGTGCATTGTTTTCTCTCATTGCAATTCATATGCCCTATATATGCCATCATCCAACTTCCTAGCAAGAATCAACAACTTGTGTGTTTAGAAATTTAATTGCAAATAATCAGTAGAACCACCATGTTATGTGCCCAATCAATTTGTACGCTACAACTTTTATTTATACAAAATGCTGTCTAGATGACTTCCCTGTCAATTTCAACAATCTGGTTGCTAATTTGTTTTTGTTTTCTCATGTTGCAAGATTACTGGGCTAACAAACAATTCTTACCTCAGTGGAGCACATGAGGTTCGGCACTGTGTCAGAAAGCACCCTGATCTTGGTCATTTTGTGCTTCAAGTTGCTAAGGTATATACTGAAGAGATGGATGTTGAGAAAAAATGTAGATGTGTGCATTTAATTAGTCAAAGCTCATGAACCACTATTGAACTATTGGATATCCAAAGCATCACTGCATAATAACTAATTGCCATTATTATCCATAGTAGATGGGTACATTATTGTATTAACCATGTCATATCTATTTACTAATCCAAGTTAGATTTCATACTTCCTACCAAAATGAATGCCATTATTTCAAACACAGAGCAGGCTGGACCGTATGCTATATGTAGGACTTACAGAAGAACATGAAGAATCTGCGAGGTTGTTTGCTCATATGGTAGGAGCACAGGTGCTTTCACAATCTGGAGCACTGAACTTAGATATCAAGGACAATCAGCCCACTGGAAATGGTAAGAGACCTCACAAGCTTGCAGCCTTACCCCTTTATGTAACATACTTTCAGGAAGCATACTTATGTAGTATTTATCTACCTTTTTAAGACTGAGGGACAAAGCCCAGCTAGTTTTATCTATAGAATCAGAAAGACAAGAGAATAAAACTGAAGGATCAGATTGTCTGGGTTCCAGCCTATCCTGCAAGACAAAAACAGTGCAATACAGTTACAAAGAAGTTAAATGTCAGTACATAACAAAACAACATAGAAGCTAGAACTCAACAAAGCTCAAACAAATGGAAATAAGTTACTTGTTAACTACTCAGTGCATAAGTAGCAGATGCAAGCCACGTCGTGTGGACTCTGGAAAACAATGTTTTGTTAAAGCTGCAACTCAATAGAATAATGAATAAATAAAACAACAGCACTCATGGAATTGTGGTACGCGTTATGTCTATTCTTGGCGTATGGTAATCCGTTTGTGGGATATCATTGTGCAAAAGCAAATTACTTAGTCTATCTTACTTGTTCTCACAGACTCTCACTCATCCACGCTGGACCCAGAGGACGAAGAAACAAATGAACATCTGGTAATAGGGTGATTAAGCTTTAATCTTTACTTTGCGTGTTAATTGGTTTTGCACAATAAGGTGGTCTGAACCTTTAAATCTCCACTCATGTTTTTGTTTTGAACTTTTGATAGAATAGCACACATGGTTCGCAAAATAACCGAGCTCTGAACGCTGCAGACACTGTCAAGGACGATCATGGAAAAGGAAATGTAATACAATTACACAAGTTGTTTGATTACTAACGTATACATTTTAAGTTATTATTAATTTGTGATCTTACTGTGGTGTTATTGCTGATTCCAGTTGACTGTTGGTAAGTTGATGGAAGCTTACGAGGGTTGCATTTCAAAACTGCGAAAATCTCAATCTAATCGTCGTAAAATCTCTCTCAGAAAGGTGGAAGGAGCAAACTTTTCGAAGGAGGTGAGAACCAGAGGGAATGAACTTCCTGTAGTTTGTAGATTATTGTTGTCTCAGTTGGACCCCATTGTCGTTAAACATATTATTTTTATCATAAGTTTTCTTATTCTGTTTATTGCATGTCCTAGGCTACTGTGCCCAAAGCCACATTTGTAGATAGATAATATCTGGTTATGGAATATATAATTCTGTTATATAAGCAAGCTCTGTTTACATTTAGAGTGTGCCACCTAATTAGAATATTTCAATGTTGACATTGCAAACGCCGAGGTTTAGTGAAGATTGCATATTCTGTTTTCAGGCACGATGGCAGGTACCAGAGGCGGTTTTGGAGCAAATCATCTCACTAAACAGCCTTGACATGGAACTATATGAGCATGCTAAGAAGATATTTACACAAGAACATCTTATGCTAAAAATTCAGCAGTCCACGGTCATACAACACAAGCAATTGACAGATCAGAAGGTTTGTTCTTCAATTATCTACTGTATTTTAGTTTGATAACCTTTCCTACTAGAATTCAGAACCTCAGAAGTTAGAACATGTTTGCTGAAAGTATGAACACCCTATGTGATTCACATACACCATTGTTATCAAAGCATTTCCTTGTTTTATGCTCTCTAATTGATTTTATGTAGTATATCCATCTATTTTCTGTGTTTCATCAATGAGCATGGCAAGGGAGAGAATAGATAAAATTAGGTAGACTGTTATTCTACTTGGCATCACCTATGTTTGAGCCCTCTGCGTCTCATAAAATGATGATACTTTTAGCCGCACACTGCTGGGTGGTATGGTATGTATACATTGTCATGCCATGGCCATGCCTAAAAGCCATGAAATGGCCCCTTTGGCCACGTCACTCTTGGTATGGAGTGTATACATACCCAAAGGGATTGCTTCATGGAAAATAAGTTTCAGAAGGGTTTCTTTTGAATATTTTTAAATGGGACCTGGTTTCTCCTAGCTAGCACTCTTGTTTTTCTCTCTTAAGCTAATTGTACTTGCTTGCTTCATAAACGTCAGTATGGAAATATTTTGGTATTTGTGCTCATTTTTCACAAGCATTTATTCAGATTTTGTCTTTCATCTCGTATATTATTTTCTGTAATGTAACAATGTCCGTGATGTAATATTTCTCAAGGTTTATCTAATCTTATAATTTTTTTGGTTTTCTCTTTCAGGGCTGGATAGAAATGGTCTGCAGTTCCTGGAGTTGCTCTCCTTGGAAGGTTGTACTATTTGGTCTTGGGGTCACAATAACCATCGCACTTATCATACTTGCTTTAACAACGAGAAGAAGAACGTTTAAACTTAAGGTCTGATACTCTGATGAAGATCAGGAAGTAGCCTCCCGATTTTGATGTACAGCTTGATACTGCCCAGAGATTAACCTTCGCTATTCCCTCGGGCAAAGATGTTAGCATGCACAGAATCATCACATATACTCCCAACCATGTTAAACCTGGCTCATTGGTAGGGTGGTGGCTTTTACCCGATGTGATCAGTCAATCGACAAATTTTAGGCACTTGTCTATTCGTATGTACATTTGCCTTCTTGACCTTAGGTTGAATTCTCTCAAGGTGTTGGTAGTTGACAAATTGCCTCAGATGAGCAATGAAACAATTGACTGTTTTGCTAGAAAAAGAGAGAAATACAAGATGTCACTATGTCAGTCTCAACTAACAGGCATGCCCAGATGAGGTGAGCACGACACAAAGATGTCAGTCTTTAACTCTTAACAGGCAGTCTCAACTTAGAAACGCTGCAGGAGATAACGGGAATGTATAAATATTTTCTCTATACTGCTATTTGCATCGGATGTACTGTAAGCCAAACAAGATTTTCTACTTTACAGTGCCCCACCCTTATACTCCCTCCGTTTCTAAAACGAACGACGATGTTGATTTTTGGATATAATGTTTGGTTTCATCATTTGCCCTATTCGAAAAGTTAGTGCAAATATGCACAAATATAAGTCACGCTTAAAGTCCCAACAAAATAAATGATGCTCACATTTTAATTAATAAGATGAATGTCCAAAAGTTAAACATTGTTGTACGTTTAAAAACGGAGGTATAGTAATTTATAAACAATAGTGGCTGAGTACAAAAGAAAATAGAAGATGTAAAACAAGACAAAAGGCAATAACCAGTACTAGTTGAGAGTGGAAACACTTCAGACAAGGGCAATATATGTAGCACTAGCTGCTAAATAATACTCTTATGAATGCAACAAACAACGCAGAGTACTACCGAAATGCAGATACAGGCATGCCCAGCCAGCATCTACCTCATCTCAAAAGAAAAAAGAAAAAAAACAAAGAAGAAAAAGAAGACAAAAGAAACCAAACAGGCTTCTAGTCAGTGTTGTTTTTCAGACTTCAGATATTGCTCCTTACGCATACTCCGTTACAATATTCCATTTGTCACCTATGACTCTTGGGTGGTTAGGATGCGCCTTCACGCATGATGCCACTTTGGTCACCACAGATAATATGATGTCGCCAAAGAACTCGATCTCCTTCAGCTTTGGTAGATTCTCCAGACCTGAAATCCCATACTTGGGTTCTCGCAGGAATGACAATGTCAGCCTCTCCAGATTAGTCACTGAACCCGCATCGAACTGCATCTTCTCTATCCTCTCCAGATTATCAATGATCAACAGCTTGAGCTTCACGAATTTACCGTGACAAAAAACTATGCAGTTGTCAGCATATGATTTGTGATAGAGCTTGAGGCAGAGCAGATTTGGCAGGTCCCCAAGAACTCCTATGGCATCAGCATGGAGTTCGGTGCGACGAAGAGCAAACCTGGATACGTTTCGAAGCGATGGTATCCATGGAGGTAGCCTTTCCAACTCACCGGCCAGGCTAAACTTGGTTATGAATAGAGGAGGCGACTCAACAAAGGCTAGATTATCCAGTGATAAGCTGTGCTCCTTCTCATCCAGAGTGTGGATGGAGAGAGAGCGAAGAGGGCCAGGCAACTTGCTCAGAGACTCAAGGAATGCGTTCCAGTTCTCTTCCACACCGCGCAAGAGAACATTGAGCTTTGTCAGATTTTGCAGCAGGCCAATTTCCCGCAGTACTGGCGATTTATCCTTGACTACTATATGGACAAGTGATTGCAGAGCCACCATGTTCTTGACCACCCCAGTCGCCACCTCCAAACCTGAAGATTGTCTCAAGAACTTCACACTGGCTGTCCTTGTAAGCTGTACCTTGTGCCCCGCAAACAAATGCTTGAGACAACTCAGGTTGCCTGCACTAGCTGGTAGCTTCTTGATAAGAGTTGCCCTAATGTCCAGCGTCTCTAGGTGTTTCAGATTCCCTAGAAGATGAGGTAATTTGGACACGTTGGTATTTCTGAGGCTTAGGTACTTCAGCTGGAAAAACCTGCACATACAATGCAAAGTTTCGTTACTCAAGCAGCTGCAGCCTTGCAAGTCAAGTACTCTTAATAACCGTAGCTGCGGAAAGAAGAATGGGACTTCCTCAACAGAAGCAGACATCGTGAAGGAGCGAGCATGAGATACATTGGCACTTGTTTTTTGAGACGAATTGTAACTGCTGTGGATGGAGAGGCGACGGATTTTGTCATGGGAAGCCAATGTACTCCCATTGTCACATAAGAATGATGCAAAGTTCTCCTCAATTGACCTGGAGACAATGACATCTAACATCAAATCATGAACTCTGCAGCTCCTCACCTTGCCAGTCCAATCAGTCCTCACAGGCTGCACAATGCTTCTAGCCACAAACTCATCAAAGTAACTTTCTGCAAGCTGTTCCATGCTTTGTCCATGCCTTTGGCTGACGAAACCTTCAGCTATCCACCTTCTCACCAAGGGTCCCCTCTTGATCACATAATTTTCAGGGAAAATACTTAGATACAAGAAGCAGGCCTTCAGATGATAGGGTAGATCATTGTAGCTCAAGGTTAAGACTTGCTTCACTCCTTCCAGGGTAGGGTTGTTTTCAAGTTCAGATCCTAAGTTGTTACAAACCTTCTGCCACTCCTCCTTGGTCCTATTTGTCTTGCTTGCGAGAAGGCTGCCGATGTTCACTATTGCTAATGGCAAGCCTCCACATTTCTTCAAAACGGAATTTGACACTTCCTCAAACTCATCAGTTGGTGATTTATCATCTGCAAAACCAAATATCTTCTTGAAGAACAGTTCTCGTGATGTCGTTTCTGATAGTCGCTGGATATTGTAAATCCGATCTTGGGGACGAGAACAGCACGTGTTGGCCACATCTGCATTCCGGGTGGTTACTATTATCCTGCTACCCTTTAAGTTGTCAGGCAATGCACATCTGATGCTCTCCCATGCCGATACAGTCCATATGTCATCAAGGATCACAATGTACCTAGAAGAAACAGTTCAGTAAACAAAAGGAAACGTGGTAACAGATAGGATTAGCTAGGAACAACCCCCCCCCCCCCCCAAAAAAAAAAAAAGAATAATTAGCAGTAAATACGCCTCCTTTTCCTTTGCATCGGTAAAAAAGGGAAAACAGAAAACGAATTGCAAACAAATAGGTGAAAAGTCCTTCATTGCATACGATGTTTTTTCTCTTTTACACTGGATAGTGTAACACTGTAACCTATTTGGATCTTTGTTATATTTTTCAGGTACACATGCCTTAGATAGTGGAACTTTCAAGATTCATCAATACTAAATAGTGGTTGGGCCCTCTCTCTCTCTCTCTCTCTCCTATATATATAGATAGATAGATACTAGAATAGTAGAAGACCTTACAGATGATTTCTCCATCACAACTCGTAAAACTAATTTTCTGGCTTTGAATGGTTCACATTGAATCCAAATTATTAAGCCAACTCTAGGAAATTGAGACTCGATTTGTATGATGGCCTTGCATTTTGCCAATGGTGGCTTGAGCCAAATCTCTGTATCTGGTTGGTTCTATATGAATAACTAGTTGTCTCTGGTTCTAGATGTGAAGGTTTTATCTGCAATCTGTTGGTTTGTTTTCTGCTCCCTTTTGAACTATGTAACATGGTTTATTTAATGGAAATGAGAGGGACCTCCTTATAAAATGGATATGGTCCTATATTTAAGTTAAACACACTTATGTTTTGGCAATAAATACACAATTTCAAATTAAATTGCCTGACAGTTAATTACATCCAGCAACTACCTCAAATTGAATACCAACTGGTCCTATAAAATGGAGACGGTCCTATATCTAAGACTGCCATTTTGACGTTCTACTTCACCATAACCAGCAATATCTCAAAAGAAAATATGGATTATTTTTAAAGCACAAACTATTATAGTTCACTATCAGGGAGGAATAACAAAAAAACTCTGGCATACCTTTTGTCTTGGAAATACCTCCTGAGATTCTTAGTCAGTGCTGCAACCTCCCACCTTTCCATTCCCTCCAGGTAATCATCTGTAATAAGGCCATGCTTGCATCCTGCTATTGCCATCGCCTTGTGTGGCTCCTGGATTAGCTCCCTTACCATGTGCTGAAAAAGTGCCCTGATGTTGAACGTCTGTGAAATGATGAACAATGGACAGCACTGAAAATCAGCACTCTTCACCACAGGGCTTCCACACACCATCCTTGCCAGCGTCGTCTTCCCAAGGCCACCAAACCCGACAATAGCAAGCACACGAAGCCGAAGGTCCTCTTCCATCAGCCAGCTGACGAGCTCATTCCTAGGCTCATCGATGCCAACCAGCTGAGCCTCCTCCGCGAAGAGAGCATGCAACTGTGGATCGATATGGAGAGAGGCATGCCTGGTGAGTCTTGGATGTGCTTCTTCATGTGTGGCCTTTGCTAGCTCCACCCCGTACCTTGAACGCCGGTCACCGACATCCTGAGCACGGGCCTTCAGTTCTTGTAGCTGGAGAGCAATTCGGTGACGACAGGCTAGCTTGCGAAGCATAGATATGAGCCCACCAAAAAATCCCATTTCTGATGACTCCCCTAGGTTATGGATGAACTCATCAATACAATCCTCAGAGTCGTAGGCTATCTCCCTCACCTGCTTCATCCAGATCCTAACTTGGTCGTCATGAATCTGTGATATGGTCAGATTGCGTAGGAATGCATTCATGCACTCGAGCTCATCCTTGATGTACTGTATCTCACCATGGACACCCTGCACCAGCCAAGTATCCTCAGTTAGAAGGCAGCCAAGCTTGCACAGCAGGCTCCTGACTGCACCCTCCGTCAAACTGAAGACAGCACCCTCCATATCTTACTATGGAGCATGGAAATGGAAACACTGCTGCTGTTGAAGTTAGGATGCTCAGGTTATATTTGTAAGACATTTGGTTAGCTAATGGTGGAAGAATAAGAACATTCCAGAATTCAGACCATGGTTTTCCTGGTCAAGGAGACATGCAATGACAAGGAGACCTGCGGTTCGCCGCTGATGGCAAACAGAACCCTGAAACATGCTGACAAGGCAACTTGACTTCATGTCTTACAAGCCTGATAAGCAAATAATAGTATTCCTGTGGTGCATAAGAATATCATAAAAAGTTACAACTCATAGAAAAAGTCAATCAGTACGGAAAACTCATTGCTGTATGTATATGTAAGAGGCCAAAGGCAGCTTAAAAATTGGTAAAAGATCCAGTAATACTTAGAGAAGGTATAAAAGCAGTGGGGAAGAGTATGAACAAGTGATACCCTAAGGTTTGTTACATTCATAGCTGGATGAAAGGGTGATCCAAACAAGTACCCAGACAAGGACAAGCAGCACTGAAAAGAGGACAGAAAACAGCTAGGTAACTCTGACATTTTGACAACACAACTCATACGTGAAATGGAAAGAAGGCGGTATAGGACAACAGTCGTATTTTTGTGATGAATAGCTTGGTAAGATTGGTAAAGTATTTCGCCCGCCTTCTTACATCTGACCTATGAGATTAGAGTGCTACTTGTTTTAACAATGTGAACATTGTACAACACCATATATAAAGCAGAGTGAGAAAACTATGGTAGCAATAAGCAGATGAACACTAACATAATCACAGATAGGACGTGGCGACAGCAAAGCAAGGTTTAGTTAATAAAGATGAAATGCAAGTCAAAGTATTGAAGCATATTATATATAAATAATCAAAACTGTTAGCTAGTGTGACACAATGAACTGTAAAGGCATATATGCAAGTGAAGCGAAGTTAACATATAAGAGAATAGTGCAGGAAGGCAACAAGCTACTCGAGGTGGTTCCATATACTTTACAGCTTAATATGCACCGATCGCAATTGCACAAATAAGATAACAATGGTTAAAGCATTGCGTGTTCCCCTTGTAATTTTGTATAATAACCTAGTACTAGTCACCTTGAAAGAAATGGCGATGTCGACATAAATGCAGAAAGGCAATCAAGCAACCATTGGAAAAACAGGCACAGTTACCAGCATCATCTTGACTGTAGTGTTTGACTCTCTTCTTTTTCCCCTTAAAGATTTGCATAAAAGATGAAACCGAGCCACAGCATATCCAGTCCTGTGAAAGAGACTCCAGGAGCTCAATGGTTCCATTTGAGAGCGCAAAAGAAAGTTGACATGGAAGAAGACAAATCAAGCACCTTGGATTGTGAAGCACTTCAGCGGGGGCCGAGTCGAGCAAGACCTAGGAGAGCTTGGTTGTTACACCTGCGACATCTCTGATCTCTCCCTTGCGAAACATTCAGGGCCAGCTGCTCGCCGCCGCTACCTAGTCAGGCCCTTCTCGTAGACTAGCTGGGTGACGCATTTCATCGAACACATGAAGCACAGAGCCGCCCACCCGCGCGCGCTCTTCGATTAGCCACCACCACGATCCGTGCTTCACCCGGCTCCCTTGAATCTTCTGCGCATGCGCATGCGCATCCGGCCGGAATCTCTACCCGGCACGTCCTCCGCCGCCGCCATCGCCGGCGCGGAGGGCTGCGGCTGCGGCTCTCTCTCTCTCTCTCTCTCTTTTCCGAAAGAGACAGTAAGGACGCGTACATTCATAAGGCGTCACCGAACTTCATAGGCGTGTGCCTCCCCCACGTGATACAGAAATACGCCTTCCAAGCACGGATGTGTGTTTTCTACTTTTGTTTAAGTCATGCTCATATGCTATCCTTAGGTGAAAGGAAAATGACGGTGGTAATTTTTTTAGAACATTTTTTTTTAAAAAAATACAGTACAAACGTAGCCCTAGAAACGTGCGTGTACTTATCTTTTTAAAGGAATCAACACGAGACTATACTATTTCATTAAAATAGAAGGAAAAGTACAACCCCTAGGGATAAAACTATACAAAACTGATAAGGCCTAGATACGGTTTAGTAGAAAATCCCGTATCCTCCTTGCTCCCGCCATAGCCCAAGTTCCTGCCTCCTCTTTTATTTTTGCCATAAGGCTAAGGTCGCAATCTCCTTTTGTTCGAAAACCTGCTGATTTTTTTACTTCCAGATTTCCCAAACTATTAAAAGAATTAGGGTCCGCAGGCTTTTCTTGGACACCTCATTTGTATTGGCTAGCATTTCCCACCAATTTTGGACGCTATGGCACGGAGCCCAGTGACAAGGGTCCACCTATTGGTAGGGGCACTTATCCTTATAAACACACAGCATATCTCTAATTCTTTATAAGCACCCCTGAAAGACCAGGCATGTATATCTTGATAATGACAAAGTCTCCACAAACGTCTCATTGTTAACGGGTATATCATCTATCCCTGAAAGAATAAATATCCATAAATACAAGCACTCGTGTCAAGCCTAAAATTTAAACTCGAATAGGCAGGTTCAATCACAAGAAACCTAACAAAGTAGTTGACAAGCAAAATGTTGTGCTTATGAAATAGGAGTACATTTGATAAGTTTAAACTAGCAGGGGAGGCCTAGCCACAACCTGCAGAACACTGAAGCAAACGCAAGCTTCAGATGAAATGCTTCTTTTACTGTTTTACACCTCAATTGTACACCGTCACAATGTTCCATTTGTCACCTACAACTCTCGGATGATTTGGATGATCCTTCACACATGACACCACTTTGCTCACCACAGATGATACGATGTTGCCAAAGAACTCTACCTCCTTCAGTTTCAGGAGATTGTTCAGACCTGAGATGCCATCCTTGGGTTCTCTCAGGAATGACAATGTCAGCCTCTCAAGATTAGGCATCGATCCCTCATTGAAATGCAACTTTTCAAGGTTCACCAGGTTATCATCGATCAGAAGCTTGACCCTGGCAAATCCTCCCTGTGGAAAAACGAGGCGATCATCAGCATATGATTTGTGATAGAGTTTCAGGCAGAGCAGATTTTGCAGGCCTCCAAGGACATGTATGGCATCAGCACGGAGTTGGCTCCTGCGAAGAGTAAGCCTCGAGACGCTTCTAAGTGATGCTACCCAAGGAGGTAGACTACCAAGCTTGCCAGTCAGGCTGAAGCTAGTGATGAAAATGGGAGGTGACACTAAGGAAGAAAGCATCTCCAGTGATGAGATAGAGATGTTTCCTTGTGCGTCGAAGATGTCAATGGAGAGTGATCGCACAGAGCCACTCAGCATATTCAACAACTCCAGAAAGGGCTTCCAGTTTACCTCTATACCATAAAAGAGAACACTGAGCTTCCGTAGATTTTGCAGCAAGGCGATCTCCTGGAACACTGATGGATGTTCTTTTATCTCTACATGGACAAGTGATTGCAGCTTTGCCATGTTTCTGATCACTCCATGGCTCATCTTTAGACCTGAGGATGGCCTCAAAAACTTCACACTGGATGTCCTTGTAAGTTGCTCTTTGTGCCCTGCTAACAAATGCTTTAGGCAAGTCAGGTTAGCTGCACTACTAGGCAGCTTCTTGATAAGTGTCTCTCTTATATCCAGTGTCTCCAGGTGATTCAGATTCCCAATTAACCTCGGAAGTATGGACACACTGGTGTTTCTGAGGCTTAGGTATTTGAGCTGGAAAAATCTGCAGATGCAGTCCAAATTCTTGTTACTCATGCAACGGCTGCCTTGCATGTCCAGCACTCTTAACAACCGCAATTGTGGAAAGAAGAATGGGATATTGTCAATTGAAGGTGACATTCTGAAGGTGCGAACATGAGCTACACTGTTGCTTGTTCTTTGAGCTGATGAGTAGCTACTGCTGCGGATGGAGAGGCGGCGGATTTTGTCATGCGAAACCAGTTCGGTTCCATTGTCACAGAAGAAGGATGCAAAGTTTTCCTCAAGTGACTTGGAGACGATGACTTCAAGCATTATATCATGAACCTTGCAGCTTCTCACCTTGCCACTCCAATCGATTCTGACAAGATGAACCATGCTCCTGCTCACAAACTCATCAAAGTATCTTTCACCGACCTGTTCCATGCTCAATCCATGCCTCTGGGTGACAAAACCTTCAGCTATCCACATTCTCACCAAAGGTCCCCTCTTGATCACATGATTTTCAGGAAAGATACTCAAATACAAGAAGCATGCCTTCAGATGGTAGGGCAGATCATTGTAGCTCAGAGTTAACACCTGCTTTGTGCCTTCAAGAGTAGGATTTGACTCAAGTTCAGAGCCCAAGTTGTCACAAACCTTCTGCCACTCTTCTTTGCTCCTGTTTGGCTTGCTTGCGAGGAGGCTACCGATGCTCACTATTGCTAGAGGCAGCCCTCCACATTTCTTCAGGATGGAATCTGAAACTTGTTTCAGCTCATCGTCGTCTGGCGCTCCGGCATCCGCCATGCCAAAGATCCTCTTGAAGAACAGCTCCCGCGATGCCGCATCTGAGAGGCGTTGGATCTTGTAGATGCGATCTTGGGGGCGGCAGCAGCAGGTGTTGGCGACATCCTCGTTTCTGGTGGTTACTATGATCCTGCTACCCTTTTTATTATCTGGAAATGCGCATTTGATGCTCTCCCATGCTGATGAAGACCATATATCATCCAATATCACAATGTACCTATACAATGTAATAGTTCCACATATATGAACAAACTCGGCAACAAATAAAATAATTAACTACATATATGATCTGTTTTTTTAGCTACTACCTGCTACTGGAAGGAAATTTTGTACAACCGGCAAGACTGAGTTGAATAGTAGTAAAATCGAGTTTGGTTCAACTAATCAATAGATTATGATTCTCTAATAGAGAACAAATAACCCGAGCAGGAGAAGGTTGAACTTCATCAAACCTACCTAATAAAACTAATAGGATAAATTCAATGGAAGAGTGTCATTGTTGGAAACAATTTTGTGTTACTGTAACTCATTAATTCTCCCCCTATATTATAAGACATTTTGGTTTTTCTAAGTCAAACATTTTTAACTTTAAGCAATTTTATAGAAAAATGTAGCAACATTTTGAACACAAAACAAATATAGTATCAAAATATATTTAATGTTTGATTTAATAAAACTAATTTGGTATTACTACGGTTTTTCTATAAAGTCAAACTTAGCTGAAGTAGTGTTCTTAGTTACTTGAACATTTTCTTTTTCTTAGTATAGTAATACTAATGTTCTTTTTCTTAGTTGTTATAGTAATACTGGTTAGTATAGTAGTACTACATTGTTGTAACTCGAGAAATTAAGTTGAACAAGGAAAGGAAATACTCCTCGCGTTTCAGATTATAAGTCTTTTTTGACTTTGATCAAAATCAAACTACTTCAAGTTTGAATAAGTTTATAGACAAATATAGTAATATTTACAACACCAAATCAGTTTCATTAAATCAATAGTTGAATATATTTCCATAATATATTTATTTTAGGTCGAAAATATTACTTTTTTTTTACAAACTTAATCAAATTTAAAGCAATTTGATTTTAACTAAAGTTAAAACAACTTATAATCTGATTATAATCTGAAATGAAGGGAGTACTAACCTTTTGTCTTGCAGGTATTCCCTCAGCTTTGCTGGCGAGCGCTGCCGTCTCCCACCTCTCCATCCCCTGCAATGCATCGTACGCGACAAGGTCGCCGCCGCCGCCGCCGGCGGCGGCGACGGCGGCCATTGCCTTGCGCGGGCGCTGGATGAGCTCCCTGAGCAAGTGCTGGAAGAGCGCCGTGATGCTGAACGTCTGCGACACGACGACGAGCGGCGGCGAGCACTGGAAGTCGGCGGCGCCCTTCACCCGGGGGCTCCCGCACACCATCCTCGCCAGCGTGGTCTTGCCGAGCCCGCCGAACCCGACGACGGCGAGCACCCGCAGCCGCGGCTCCTCCTCCATCACCCACCCCACGAGCTCCTCCCTCGGCCCGTCGATCCCCACCAGCTGCGCCTCCTCCGTGAACAGCGCGTGCAGCCTGGGGTCGAGCCGCCCGGACGACGACGACCCGCCGCCGCCCCTGACCGCCGCCGCCGCCAGCGACACCCCGTACCTCGTGCGCCGCTCGCCGGCGTCGCGGGCGCGGGCCTTCAGTTCCCGGAGCTGGGCCGCGACGGAGCGGTCTCCTCCTCCTACTCCTAGCGCGCCGGCCAGTAGGCGGACGAAGCGGCGGAGTGAGGCCACGAGGCGACCTTCGTCTCCGGCGGCGGCGGCGGGGTGGCTGCGGCCGCGGACGAACACGTCGATGCAGTCCTCGGCGTCGTAGGCGATCTCCCTGACCTGCTTCATCCAGACCCTCACCTGGTCGTCGTGGCCGGCGGCGTCCTCCGGCGACGTGGAGACGCTGCGGAGGAAGGCGTTCATGCTCTCCAGCTCGTCCTTGATGTACTGCACCTCGCCGTGGACGCGCTGCGCCGGCGAGCTCTCCTGCGCGAGCACGCCGGCGAGCTTCCGGAGGAGCCCCCGCACGGCGCCCTCGGTCAAGCTCACAATGGCGCCCTCCATTGATTTCCTAACACCAAACGTCTGAAAAAATTTGCTTCTTAAAATATATAAACATGTTGAATTTTAAATACTAGCTATCTCCGTCCCAAAATAAGTTTATTTTTCATCTATCACATGGTACCAATAAAAAAATAAGAAGACTAGAATACTCATATTTTATCAATTCTCAATGCAATTATTCATCAATTATCTACTCCCAGTTATCCCTCCGTCCTATAATATAATGTGTTCACGTATTTTAAGATTCTAACATTTAAAACATTTGAGCAACACTTAGTATATAGTATAAAAGTATAACATAAAATGAATTTATTTGTTAAAAATTATATTATTAGATTGAGATTTAATTTACTTTCATATGCTACAAAACTTATAGAATATGAGAAATTAGAAGCTAAAGATTAGTTTTGAAGACTGTGCCAACTTTGACCACGTTTTATATTACCGGATAGAGAGAGTACAATTATTCCTTACTTTCACAAATTCCGATGCAATGATTACTCTAAAAATGAACTTATCTTGGGACAAATAAAATGAGCTAAAAGATAAACTTAATATGGGACAGAGGTAGTATAACATTTGGGCTATCCTCTCATATTAATATTTTTTATACAAATATGTAAAAATATGATGCTTAAATTACTTTTAACCACAAAATAAGTCATGACAAATATCAAATGAATGGTCGGACACCGTGGTGAAAAGTCAACGACTTCCTATATTTAAAAACGATAATAGTACCAGTAGTGACCATCACCCTATATCATTGCAATACTGTGTGGAGAGAGAGTTGCGCAAAAATATGCCATCCGAAGACAACCTAACCATGTAAACAATTTCACAAAGAAACGAATGGAATCGAGAGGATTCCCCGCTCTTACAAGCAAGGTAAATACAATACAGAGTTGTACTTTCAACTACTCTTGACAAACCAACTCAGCTTGTCTTCTTAGGAACACACCCTGAAAAACTATCAATACATACTGTCCAGCTGGTTACACTACACTTTCTGCATTGCTTGAAATAAGCAATGCAAACTACTTCCCAAAATGCAAGCATTTCTGGCTTTAAGCCTAGACAAGCTTGACTAGATTCAAAGCTAGAAATACTTATATTTCGAGATGAAGGTACAAGCATTGCCCAACTAGCTAGCTGAACCTGAACACCAAAACCAAACAGGCCTCTAGAAGCAATGTTGTTTAGAGCTTGCTCCTTAAGCGTACTCCGTCACATTGTTCCATTTGTCACCTATCACTCTCGGGCGATTTGGATGTGCCTTCATGCAGGATGCCACTTTAGTCACCATGGATAATATGATGTCGCCAAAGAACTCTATCTCCTTCAGCTTCAGCAGATTCTCCAGACCTGTAATCCCATCCTTGGGTTCTTGCAGGAATGCTATTGTCAGCCACTCAAGGTTAGGGACTGAGCCCTTCTCGAAGTGCACATTGCGAATGTTCTCCATATTATCAATAACCAACATTCTGAGCTTCAAAAAATTACCATGAGCAAAAAATATATGGTCATCAGCGTAGGACCTTTGGTAGAGCTTGAGACAGAGCAGATTGGGCAGGTCTCCAAGAACTCCAATGGCCTCAGCGTGGAGTCCAGTGTCACGAAAAGTAATCCTGGACACATTTCGAAGTGATGGTATCCAAGGAGGAAGCCTCTGCAACTTGCCTTTCAGGCTAAAATTTCTGATGAATAGAGGAGGCGACTCTGCGATAAGAGCTAGATATTCCAGTGATGAGCTGTGCTCTTTCTCATCCAGAATGTGAATGGAGAGCGAGCGAAGAGATCCAGTCAATTTTACCAGAGACTGAAGGAATGCGTTCCAGTTCTCTTCCACACCGCGAAACAAGACATTAAGTTTCTGTAACTTTTGGAGCTGGCCAATTTCACTCAGCACCGCTGGCCGCTCCTTGACCACTATATGGGCAAGTGATTGCAGAGCCATCATGTTCTTAACCACCCCAGCCGTCATCTCCAAGCCTGAGTCCGGTCGGAAGCACTTCACGCTGGTTGTCCTTGTAAGTTGTACCTTGTGCCCAACTAACAAATGCTTGAGACAACTGAGGTTGCTTGCACTGGCTGGTAATCTCTTGATACGCGTTGCCCTAATGTCCAGTGTCTCCAGGTATTTCAGATTTCCAATTAGTCGTGGTAATTTGCCAATATTGGTCTTTCTGAGTGTCAGATACTTCAGCTGGTAAAATTTACAGATATAGTTCAGAGTACTGTTGTTCAGACAGCTGGAACCTTGCAAGTCTAGTACTCTTAGCAGCCGCATCTGTGGAAAGAACATTGGAACTTCCTCAACGGAAGCTGACATTGTAAAGGAGCGAACATGAGATACGCTGACTCTTGTTCTTTGCACCGAATTGTGACTGTTATGGATGGAGAGACGACGGATTTTATCATGGCAAACCAATGGATGTCCATTATCACACAAGAAGGATGCAAAGTTCTCCTCGAGCGACTTGGAGATGATGACTTCTAGCATCATGTCATGAACTCTGCAAGTCCTCACCTTGCCACTCCAATCAATTTTCACAGGTTGTACAATACTCCTGGCCACAAATTCATCAAAGTAACTTTCGGCAACCTCTTCCATGCTTAGTCCATGCCTTTGGTTGACAAAACCTTCGGCTATCCACCTCCTCACCAAAGGCCCCCTCCTGATCACATAATTTTCAGGAAAAATACTTAGATACAAGAAGCAGGCCTTCAGATGGTAAGGTAGATCATTATAGCTCAGGGTTAACACTTGCTTTGCAACTTCCAGGGTAGGATTAGTTTCAAGTTCAGAGCCCAAGTTGTCACAAATCTTCTGCCACTCTTCCTTGGTCCTATTTGTCTTGCTCGCAACAAGGCTGCCGATACTCACTATTGCTAAAGGCAAGCCTCCACATTTCTTCAAAATGGAATTCGAGACTTCATCCAACTCTTCATTTGATGATATATCTGCAGAACCAAATATCCTCTTGAAGAATAGTTCTCGTGATGCAGCATCTGATAGACGCTGCATTTTGTAAACCTGATCTTGGGGACCTGAACAACATGTGTTAGCCACATCTTCATTCCGTGTGGTTATAATTACTCTGCTGCCCTTCTTATTGTCAGGCAATGCACATCTGATACTCTCCCAAGCTGATATGGTCCATATGTCGTCAAAGATGACAATATACCTACAGGAAAAAAAGTACTTATCACTTTATCAGTCATGAACCTATCATAGAAGATAACAGTGTTTCTTACCCAAAACAAAAAGGATAGAAGGAACTACATATATTTTATATAAAGGAGTGAGCACATTAACCCACGATTAGCAAATTAAGGCTTTAGGGATGATCCTGATTTTAAGGGGAAAATATATGTACCTTAAATACCTTTATTTGAAAAATACGAAAAACTTAGAAGCCTTTCTCTTGGCTAACAAAACACTTTCTAGTTCTATACCAGTTCTGCATCACATCCAGTGAGTTTATTTACAGCAAAAAAAACCACCTGAAAGTGCTATCAGCCAGTAATCCTGGTACACAGCATAAAACTTGGTGATACGGGCAACAGTAGGGAACAGGGTGGAAACAACCTTTCCATTCCTATGTAGAGCAGCACAGGGAAGGTCGTGCACCCTCTATTTCTCATTTAGACAGCCTTTCTATGTGAGCAGAGATCATTGGAAATCAATGGTCAAGATCTGACATAGGACTAAATTCTCCTATTTCATTGCTGAATTGAAGTAAAAGGTGCATGATTGTCTTTGATTAAACCTTTTCGCAAGCAATGCATCAATCATCTAGATATATTCACCAAAGCAGGAAAAAGGGGAGTCTAACAGATAATCAATTACCAGTAAAATAAAACAAAAGCACTAGTTACCTTTTGTCTAGCAAATACTGCCTAACTTTTTCAGCCAGCACTGCAACTTCCCATCTTTCCATTCCATCCATGTTGCCGTCCATTGTATGACCGTGCTTACCTCCTGCTACAGCCATTGCCTTGTTCGGACGCTGGATCAGTTCCCTTATCATGTACTGGAACAGAGTCCTGATATTGAATGTCTGTGACACAATGAACAATGGACAGCAGTGAAAATCAGCACCCTTCACCATTGGGTTCTCACACACCATCCTTGCCAGTGTGGTCTTCCCAAGGCCGCCAAAACCAACTATGGCAAGCACACGCCGGCAAGGATCCGCTTCCATTACCCAGCGGACAAGTTTATCCCTTGGTTCATCAAGGCCCACCAGCTGTGCCTCCTCAGTGAAGAGAGCATGCAACTGCGGATCAAGATGACGAGATGCATGCCTGGTAAGCCGTGGGCCTGCTCCTTGAAGTGTGGTCTTTGGCAGCATCACCTCATAGCGTGAACGCCGCTCACTGACATCCTGTGCACGGGCCTTTAGCTCTTGTAGCTGCATGGCGATTCGATGGCGACAGCATAGTTTGCCAAGAATATAGATTAGCCGATAAAGGAAACCAATTCCTGATGACTCACCAAGATGATGAGTGAACTGGTCAATGCAGTCCTCGGCATCATAGGCAATCTCCCTCACCTGCTTCATCCAGATTCTCACTTGGGTGTCATGGTCCTCCAACACAGTGAGGTACCGGAGGAATGCATTCATGCTCTCGAGCTCATCTTTTATGTATTGTATGTCACCATGGACACCCCGCACGAACCAACTCTCCTGGGAGAGAAGGGAGCTAAGCTTGGACAGGAGGCTCCTAACAGTGCCCTCAGCCACACTAAAAATAGCACCCTCCATGTCTAACTATGAGCATGGAAATGCAGATGCTGCTGCTAATGCAGTTGTGTTCCCTAGGCCACACACGCACATATATATAAGGTATCCAATAGACTAAATTTGAAAGTGATAGCAGGATAAGAGCGTTGCAGGCAATAGTTTCCTAGTCATTTCCAGTTCTCAATAGGCTACATTTGGACTCCAGCATAATAAATTGTACAAAGGGAAATATGTTGATTGCAGTGTTAGCTGATGACAAGGCAATGAAAAGGAGACTTCAGGTTCATAAGGTGATGACCCGAATGATGAACAAACATATTGACATGGCATCATGACTTCTATTTGTTTATTCTATTCTCCATAGCAATTTATGATAATCCAGACGATCCAATTCACATTTCCACTGCCACTATATACAAGCCACCTTACTGATTGATAAAGGAATCATAATCTAAGAAGGTGCTGAGACATTTACCAGTTAGAAAAACTAACAATGTGATAACCCTTTGTGTTAAATATTCAAGATGACATGGAAGGGTGACTCAAACTAAAGAAGTACAGATAAAATCACCTTGCAAGCGACCTCCAAAAAGAAAAGGAATGGCAACAACTAGTAAGTTTGGCAATATCACAATTCAATGACAGAAAGGACAAGGACATATAGAAAGGATAACATAGTTTTATCGTGGATAACCTGGTAACTAAAGTTGGTAGAAAAAAAGAACTCCATACAATTTAGAAAGCCACCTAACTGCCTGAATGAAATGTTTCACACGTATGCCCATCCCAATTAGTTTACTGATGCGGCCCATATTAACTAAGTGAATCTCCCTCTACAAGAAGTGAACCCCAGGTAAGATCCTATATAAAGAATTAAACATTACTGGGACAGAAAGGGAAAACCGTCAGATCGCGCCAACTGTACAACGGACAAACAAATCGCCATCAGTCAAGAAGTCCTACAACTAAGAAAGAACTAACACCAATCTCCATCAGACAAAGATGATTTATTTCCTGTCAGACGTGGCAACCACAAAGCACCTAAACTGCTACATAAGATATGAGGTTTGGTTGATAATATGCTAACAAATCAATGAACCACAAAATGGCAGTCGTTATAGCTTGTTTGATACTTTGACATAACATGACGCAAAGATTAAATATGTCAAGAGAAGCCAAGACACTCTAAAAGAGTGACGCAATGCAGGCTACATGGAGAGGTTCCATACGCTTGCTTAGCATTCACCGAGCGCACGTTCCAAATTTAATAACAAGTGGTGGTTGTGTGATTATTGGATTTGGTTTGGATATGAACATGAATCAGAGGGGGGGGAGGAACATTTTGGATAAGGACTAAGACTATCATCAAACAACCAACACAACCAAATCACAGCAGCGTACCATTTGATCTTCTCCTCGAAGATTAAACTAATGAGAGCAAGCATCTCCCTCTGCGACCATTGGGGTGATTAGCTCGATGATTCCCTTCCAGAGTTGAAACATTTGCAAATTGCAAAATAGTTTGCATTGGATCTCTTTCTCTTACCTGCATCGGCATGTCGTCATATCAGTGACCTCACCGGCAAAGCTATCTCCATGCCCAGACTCGGTGAGGCATTTCATCGAACACTTGAACCTCACACCGCAGAGGCGGGTTGCCGCCGGCGAAGTGAAGGACTCGCCGCCCTCCGCTCCGAGCGAAGGAGTCGCCGAGTCTCGCCGCCCTTGACCGATCATCTCGCGTGCCCTCGCCGGCTGGTTCGCCCAACCGCGGCACCCCCGTCCGCCGCCTCTTGGGGTAGGATGGAAACTGCAGTCTCCGTTCCCGTTGGGCGATTAGCCTCATTGGTTGTCATGAAAAGCTAAAGTAAAAACCAAATTTTATATTGGTTTTAAGATATTTTCAATGTAGTTTTATTTTCCAGCATTGTCTTTATTTTCTTTGTCTATAAAAAACAGATATGCTACATCCTAAAACTAGAATGTGTTATATCTCGTATTAGGTTTGTTTTTTATTGGACGGAGAGAGTAATTTACTTTTAAAAAAACATATATAAAAGTTTTACAAATAAATTATTTTATTTTATGGTTAGTGGTCACTAATAAACCATTACGGCTTATTATTTGTTCTGGATAACCGATGAGGCCCAACGTTAATTGGATTGAAGTATTTTAATAACATGCTAACTGTAGTAATAAAATGTTTAAAAGTATTTTAATAAGATGCTAACTGTAGTGGTAAAATGTTTAGCCACAAAATATTCGATAAAATGTTTATACTAATGGCTAATGTTTGTCAATTTTCATTCGTTTTAATGCTTATACTTTGAGGTTTTTATTTGCTTTAATGCCTATATTTTAAAACAGAAGATGCATGCCATTGCCGATGTTTGCCAGTTTTTCTGTTTTAATGCGGGAACATTCATCTTTTCCATTTTAACGTTTGCTAGGCTGTGTTTAGTTCAGCGCAAAGTTTGGATTTTGATTGAAATTGAAGATGATATGACTGAAAAATTGTGTGTGTATGACAGGTTGATGTGATGGAAAATGACTTAAGTTTAGATCCAAACACAGTCCTAGTTTGCCATTTCGTTTCAAATGTCAGACACGTGAAATGACAAAAAATGGGTTCATTAATTTGCCAGGATGATACATGATCTCAAATTGTAAGCTAGCTCTTAACAGCTACTCCCTCCATCCCATAATATAAAGGATTTTGAGTTTTTGCTTGCAATGTTTGACCACTCGTCTTATTCAATTTTTTTTTGCAAAGATAAAAAACAAAAAGTTGTGCTTAAAGTACTGTAGATAATAAAGTAAATCACAAATAAAATAAATAATAATTTCAAAAAATTTTGAATAAGACGAGTGGTCAAACGTTACAAGCAAAAACTTAAAAAACTTAAAATCCTCTCTTATATTATGGGACGGAGGGAGTACTATCAAAAGCGCCAAGAAATCGGTTTTTTACATTGACATGCTACACGTTAATTGAGAACAAGGGTCAGCAAAAGATAGCGCCTTCTCTTTCATAACAAGTAAATTCAAAACTTTGCTTCCTTCCAGTAATATCCTCATTCAAATGGCATAGACACACGAAGAAGGAAGCAAACACATCTCTTGGATCTCGATAACAGTAATATCCTCATGAGGTTGGTACAAAACTTTGAAGTGGTTACAATTAGCACAGCTCACTACAGCATTTGTTTCAAAAGGCTACTACAGCAGTATTCTTGGCCAGCAAGTTGAACAGTGAAACATTCCCCATTTTTTATGTCCGTGCCGATCAGATTCTTGGTGCTGCATTACATATCGAAATGTGCCTCAGGTTAAAGGTAGGAGATGATTAACATAGAAGACGGATTTGATAGAGACTGCCACCAGCACAAAATACATTACCTCCTCCGATTGTAGCTTCAGGGAGTCGTTCTATCGAGTACCTGTGCCGAGTGATATACATGATTGGAACACCAGGAACCTACCAAATTGAGAACACAAACATGTAATTAGCATAAGAGCAAGGCTGCTGCAATGTTCAGGCTTAAGTGCTTGTAAATGTACCTTTCTTATCCTCCTTTTCAAATCTCTATCACATGTTGCGACGATGTAGCACTTGTGCTGTTACAGAAAAGTTGCAGTTTAGCAAAATTAGCGAAATTTTTTACACACAAGCTACATAGATCCAAATGATTATCACAAAAACTAGTCTTAAACTTTCAGTAGCCAACCAGCCTTAATTTAAGGCCCTCTTTGTTTAGGCTTATAAGCCAACTTATAAGTCGAAAAGTCTAAGCCAAAACAAACAAGCAGCTTTTTCATTTGGCTTTTTTAAGCCATAAGCCACTCTAACACTATTAATCCAAAAGCTAGGTTTGAGAAGCTTTTTTTGGCTTATATGAGATAGATGTATGATTTTACCATTAAACTTAGGACATTAAATCCACTGGCTTATAAATCATATAAGCCAATAAGCTGACTTAAAAGTCTAGGCCAATAAGCCTAAGCCTAAACAAAGAGGGCCTAAGTGTTCACTAAAATGTAAATGGAAGCTGTAAAGATGAAGAGCAGAAATTGGCGAGACTAAAGAAAGTTATATTAGTAATTTCAAAAGGAGATTGCGAAAATTTCAGTAACCCATACATGCATCATATTCTCTACTACTCAACTGCAAGTACCGTCAAGTCACCTAACATCTGCTATCCAAAACAATGCTGCCACTTGCACACATAAAAACTCAATTCGAACAATAGAAGTTCAAGTAGGCAGAATTATACCTGAGTAACCCTCTCTACGATACAGTCATCAGCATAAGTTCCCTTGTGTGTGCATGCTAATCTCTGGAACCTAGGGTCCTTTGCAATTCTGTAAGAGGTAAAAATAGTATTTATTGATGGATGAAAATCATAGAAAATTATATTATAGTACCAAACATCAGAACTATGTCCAACTGATACTAATATGCATAGAAGACAATAGCTACAGATACTGGGATAGAGAAACAGAATGAATAACGGAATTTGCAACAAGTGAAGAATATAAATTAAAGGAAATGCATGAACCAATTACCACAGTAATTATTGGGAATGAACATACCTCAATGCTACACGATACTTTTGTCCCAGCTTTTCAAGCTCCGCCATAACACAATCCGTGATACATGGTGTGCCTTCATAACAAGATGGTAGACTTTGTCAGCAAAGCCGTATGCATTTCAAAATATGCTAAAAAGGATAGCTTAAACCCTACTCGTTCCATTCCATATTATAATGTGTTTTGGATTTGTCCTAAGTCAAACTTCTTCAAGTTTGGCCAACTTTATAAAAAAATGTAGTAGCATTTCCAACACAAAACAAATATATTAATTTGGTATTGTAGATGTTGCTACGTTTTTTCTATAAACTTGGTCAAACTTAAAGAAGTGTGACTTAGTACAAACCCATCACTTCTTATAATTTGAAACAGAGTGAGTAAGAAGATGCATGCTTACATTTTGCATAAAGGCAGTCCATCATTCCTTTCTCCAAATCCAACTGCATAGGTGTCAAAGAAGCATTTAGCTATTACCCATAAGCATAAGCTCAGAGAAACTGTTAGTTAGCTCCATAATCCAGTAAACCCACATGAAAGGAATACACTCTGACCAAGAAGGGATGTAGCTAGCACTTGCACCAGGGATGGGAAAAGATACGATGATAGATAGATAGTCAATGTATTTCTCTGTCCTAGAAATGCAAGATTTCTGTTGTGTTTGAACTGTCAATATGGACAATCACTTGGTCATCTACCCCTATACCCTATATAAAGCCTCATAATTCAATTAGTTTTCAATATGGTTCTAGCATCTAATAAGTGGCTCCAGGTTGGTTATGAACCTTCTTGCACTCAGATGGATGTAAGGCACTCCAAATGTTATGTTATTCCCTCTATTTCACAATATTTATCCAGTAGATAGAGTAGTACTAGGTCTATCTAATAGATGTGATCATAATCCATATTGGTTAAAAAATGATTTTAAGTATTGTGACTCATACATCTGCATACCAGAAAATATTGTGGAGCAGAGTACAAATAAGTTAAATGATGTGCCAGCGCTTGTTACACATGCCCTATACTATATGCCTCTTATTAAGTGCCAATGGGCAATACCATTCTGTTATTTGAGGGCTGTTGAATGACACTTGAGAATGTCCAACAGTTACATACTCGACACAATTGAGATTAAGCTAGGCTTCACGAAATCATTCAGTGGATAAACAGAAGAGCACCTAATTCGAAGCCTCAAAGAACAAACCTTGTTCTGGATGGAGAAATTGATGAAGTTTGTATCCACAATAACCCGGTATGGCGGCCCGAGCGCTGTGTTGTAGCTGAAGAACAGCGCCGAAGAGACCTGAGGCCTAAAATAATAAACCAACAAGACTTGATTAATCCAATCATCCCAATAATCGTTAAACACTTTAAACAAATGGATCCCAAAACGCGGTAGGCACTCACACATTCCGCCCGAGCTTCTCCTTCTCGTTATCCTTCTTCTTGGGGTTCAACACATCCTCCTTGTACCTAGAGGAGACAAAATTTAGGGTCGCAACAAAAAGAACCGAATCACCAAGAAACCAATAGGAGAGGGAGATGGTTTGCCTACTTCTGGATGGTCTTCTTGGTGATGATCTTCTTGACGGCGGCGAACTTAGGGCCCTTGCTCTTCGCCCTCCCCATCCTCAGACTAAAAATCCCAGATAACACTATCAACACCAGCAGCAGTCTCGAGCACTACGCGCACCGCGGGCGGCGGCGGCGTTAGCTCTCTCGGTGGAGCGGGTCCTCGCAGCTGACTGCTCACTGCCGGCGGCGTGAAGCGGTGGAAGGGGCCGCGTGAGACGAGAGCCTACCGACCGAGAGCGGCAGGGGCGCAGAGCGCGACGCCAAGTCACCGAGGCGCCGAGCTACCTTCTCCTACCGGCGGGAGGGGCGACGGCGACGGCGACGGCGACGGCGAGGCGGGAAGTGCGGCGAGCCGGAGACTCTGGCGGCGGCGTCGCGCGTTCGAGGAGAGTGAGAAGCCTAGGGTTGGCGTTGCTGACTTGAGAGGCCTCATTGGTGGGCCTGGACCGTTGAGTTGGGCCCACCTGTCAGCTAACACTATGATGGGCCTTTTCAAGCTTTGGGCCGTTGGATGCGGCGAGAGATCTGGGCCTCTGGGCCGTCGGATCTGAGAGAAGTATTGTGCGCGTCTCTGAGCGACGGCGGCTTTGGTCTGGAAGGGGAGAGGAGGCGGCGGCGGTGGGGGATGGCGGCGGCGGCGGCGGCGGCGACGGCGACGCTCCGGTGGGTGCTGCAGATGCACCGGGACGTGCCGCGGGCGGCGAGGTTCTACTCCGAGGGGCTCGACTTCAGCGTCAACGTCTGCACGCTGCGATGGGCGGAGCTCCAGTCCGGGCCGCTCAAGCTCGCCCTCATGCACACCAACGACAGGTCCCCCGACTGCTTAGCTTCCTCTCTCTCTCTCTCTCTCTCTCTCTCTCTCTCTCTCTCTCTCTCTCTCTCTCTCTCTCTCTCTCTCTCTCTCTCGTTTATGCTAGTTTTCCATGGGTTTGGGGGTCGATTTGAGTGTGAGCTCGGAGATGTATGATAAAATGCGGCTGAGGTTGGGATGATGGGGTTGGGTGGTTCGCTGTTCCACACGATGGCGTTCAAGTGTTTGTTGAATTGCCTGTGCGGAGCAGTTGGTTCGGTTTGCTTCTGAAAATGCTACACATGAAATGCGATGTTACGCGCTGCAAAATTTTAATGTTGGTGCGTTCAATGATTAAAAAAAAAGTGTTCCTTCATGTGCTATGTTCGTGGAAATTCTGGCTCTAAGGAGAACCTTTTCCTGAATTGTTAGCCCCTGGCTATAAACCAGCTAACGCAAGTATCTGTTTTTGACCAATTTCAACATTTTTCATTGCGGGTAGCATCTCAACTAAGTTTGGGCAGGATGGAGTCAGCATTAACTGTTCTCAGGCACTCCTGTTTTCCCTTTGGAAAGGCAGCAAATTAGTCTACAGTGTTCAGATGTGCAGGTAAAAATGTTAGTGGATTGACTCTATCCTTGGGAAACAGTCACACTTAATGAGTTGATAGTGCGCATCACAAGTCCCTGCATTTTTAGTACAAGGATCTTGTTTGCTTGACTTTGTGTGGTTAGGCCTACCCTAGGATTGATGCCTTGGTAGAATACTTATCCAACATCCATCGTGGCCCTATTGCTGTTCTTTCACATGTAGAAGTGTTGGATATGCTAGGTTGTTGATTTGCTATTCTTTTTACTCACCATGCTGAGTAATGAAATTCTGCATGAGGAATAGTGTAACCTTAAGTTTCTTTTACATATTGTTTCTTGTGTCATCATATGCATTTCTTTTTAGCAGAGGCATACTATGTTCCGCAGAAACTTGTGCTCTGATGATTTGAGAATTGAGATACTCAAGGCCTCAAGGGATGATATGGATACCACAATATACAACAAAAAGTTCGCATGGCAATTGGATCTCCTTGATGTAATTGGCTGAGATCAATATAAAGCTTCCATTATCTAAAAAAAATATACTACAAAAAAAATCAACAACTAGATGATGCTTTTGAAAAACTCATGATCTCCTAATTCTGAAGTCATCTACTTTTTTTTCCTGTTGTTCTTACTCTACGTAACATTGACAATAGTCATGGTAGCCAGATAGCTTGGTATGGTAGCTTTAAGATCACCCCGTATGAGTATGAGGTATAATGCATCTTGTTCATATGGAGATAATCAATATGTTGAAAACTTGGCACTTTGCAATTTGGCATTGTAAAATCCAGTGCTTTCTTAGCAATATTATATCTAGTAGTACAGTAGTTACTAATGTTAAGATGTCTTTATCTTTTTCTTGAGATATTATGTTATCCTTTTGCAGTCGAACAAAACATGGAATTGTTACCTGAAAATTCATATACATTTGCAGTAATCTTGCATCGCAGAGAATCTATTCTTCGATGCTGTCATTCACTGTACCAGACATAAACAGTACAGTTACGAAATTATTGTCGCTGGGAGCTGAGTTGGATGGGCCCATCAAATATGAGATCCATGGAAAGGTAACCAATAGCCCATAACTATAGAACATGTCTATTTCCATTGTTTCTTCAAAAAAATTTTGTGATACTAGTTTTCTTTTTTATACAGGTTGCAGCCGTACGATGCATCGATGGGCACATGCTTGGCCTTTTCGAACCAGCGTGAAGAACCTACACTGCAATGTACATAATGAAAAAATTATTTCAATTTCTTGCAGATGGTATGTTTTATTTCTGTGGACTGAAGTTGTTGTTGACAGAAGCAACTGACTGGGCCTGTAGTGTCTGAAACACTGATGAATAGTTAGATGGGCATCTCTTTCTGTTAAGAGAAACCAGTATGAGAATTGAGGTGCTGTAGCTCTTTCGCCACCGTTTGCCTGGTAATTGCCTGTCGTATTGCAATCGGTAGAGAGCCACACTGTCATGGCTCTGCTTTATAATGGCCTGAACTATTGCTAACTTGGCAATGTTCTCATATAAGCTTTCAAAATCTAATGCATGGAATATTCTATTAATGTTGAAGTCAAGATGATATAATTTAGTATCTACTTTGAGCAACTGGCATAAAAACAACGGTATTTGATGCAAGCACTTAAAAAAATCTGAGCTAAACATAAGTTGTTAATTACGACCTTAATGTCCGGCTGACTGTCTGTAGATAGGAGCAGATACATATACCAGCCTTTGTTGTACTAGCCACCAGAAACCAGTGATCAGAATATGATCAAGAATCTGCTGGAATCCTGGCTGGAGAAGAGAGGCAACCAGCTTGGTTCCATGCAGAAACAACAATCAGGATTCAGTACTTGCTCCGTCCCAAAAAAAGACAAACCCTAATTTCCATGTCCAACGTTTGACCGTTCGTCTTATTTAAAAAAAATTATGAAAAAAATTAAAAAGATAAGTCATGTATAAAGTATTAATCATGTTTTATCATGTAACAACAATAAAAATACTAATTATAAAAAAATTTCATATAAGACGGACAGTCAAACGTTAGCATGGAAAACCAGGGTTTGCTTTTTTTTTTTGGAACGTAGTCATCAACAACAAACCTGCACCCACTCGCATGAGCACATCAATCAACAAGACCTTTTCTTTTGTCACATCTATTCATATAGTACCATGCACAAGTCAACCTGCCTGCAAAGCTGCTCTCCCCCAATCAATCTCCTGCACATGCACTCAAGAATTCCCTATGGTTATTTAACCTTTCAATCCTTGCATGTTTGATATTTTGATTGATATTTGATTGATAAAGGTTTCTCTTTTTTTTTTCTCTTGGGAACTGATTGAGTGATTGGAAAAAGGTTAGAACTCACTGCAATTGTTAATTTGTTATCAACTGCTCCATGATAAACTGGAAAATGATGGTTTTATTATGTTGCAACTTGCAGTCAGATTAGTTGCTGATTAACAGCCAGTGCCTGCTAAATATAGCAAAGCACACATTTCCTCTTCTCTGTGCTGATTAATCTCTCCCTCTCTTTGTTCCTCTTCTTCCTCCTCAGACATCATCTCCAATAATATTCCTTCAAGGAAGCCGCTTCGATTCCCACATCGGAGATGGCGGCTTCCTCCGGCCGCCGCCACGCGCCGCCGTCGGGTTAGGAAGGGCTCGAGGTTGGAGAGGCAACAATGGCGATCGCTTCGTCATCGTCGTCGTTGCTGCTGCTGATGTTTCTTGCGTTCTTGGATCATGGCGCCGCGGTGGCGAACCTGTCGTCCATCGAGGCCGCCGTCCGCGACCGCGCGTTCCAGCTGTTCCGCCGCACGAGCGAGATCGTCGCCGTCGACGTCCCGGCGGTGCTCGCCGGCGCCGGCGTCGAGGCCTCGGCGACGCGCGTGCGCAGCAGCGCCCTGTGGGCCGATGGCGTCAACGCCACCGTGCCCGGGCTCGCCGTCGCCGTCCCGCCGCGGGTCGTCCCGGCGCCGTTCGCCCGCCGCGTCGCCATCGTGTTCGTCCGCTTCCTCGGCGACGCCTCCTCCTGGCTGTTCGACGCGCCGCCCGGGTACGCGCTGGCCGCGCCGGTGGTCGCGCTGCTCGCGTTCGACGCGTCGGGGCCCAACGGCGGCGTCGCGCTCCGCGCGCTCGGCGCGCCCGTCCGCGTCGAGTTCAGGGACATCTCGCCGGCGAGCGGGTTCAACGCCACGGCGGCGAGGTGCCTGACCTTCTCGTCCGGCGGCGGGAAGGCGGTGGCGGCGCACGCCGTGGCCATGGAGCCCGGCCCGTCGTGCGTGGTGTCCGGCACGGCCACGGGGCACTACGGGGTGGCGGTGCGCGTGGAGACGCCGCCACCACCGCCACCGCCACGACCACCGCCGGTGAGGGAGCGGTGGTGGGTGTGGAAGGTCGGGGCCACCGCCGGCGGGGTGGCGGCGGCGAGCTTCCTGGCGGTCACCGTGGTCGGCGCCGTGAGGTGGAGGAGGAGGCGGCGGAGGGAGGAGATGGAGCGGCGCGCGATGTGCGGGGAGGAGCTCGGGAGGATGGCGGTGAGGGGGAGCAGGATGCCGTCGGCGAAGATGGTGAGGACGCGGCCGGAGTTGGTGGAGGAGCTAAGCTAACCTCCGCCGCCGTGAGTTGCACCGGCGAGCCGCCGTAGTTTTCGTAAGGTTTTTTTTTTCTCCTTTCGTTTTTTAGGTGTAATTTTTTCTTTTCAGATTATTACGAGACAAATGTACAGTACATTAAACTCTTTCAAAAAAAAATTCACGTGCAACTCAAACTCAAATTCAAATTGGATTGGAATGTACATTGCAGTTGGGTTATGTTAAATTTTGAGAGCAAACACCGCCTTCCTTTTTCGAATACTACTTGCATAGTTTACTTTATTCCCTTCAGCTCATAACCAGGATGGGATTTTTGTCACTAAAATGAACAAAGAGAAAGCAGTATTTACCCACTTTGATTTATTGGCTATAAGAAACAGAGAATTATTGTATTTTGATTTGTTTTCACTTCACATTTCACACAATCTTGGCTTGTTCAGTACCTTTAATACTAGTCTAGTATCCCGCCAAAAAAAAAAAATACTAGTCTAGTAGTAAGTAGTACACTCTCTGTTCATGGATTTAGTACCTTTAATCCGTGACATTGTTAACTTTATTTGGTCTAAGAATTTAAAACTTTAACTATTAATAGTTAAAAAAATATTTAGCTTGAAGACACAAAATCATATGGATATATTTTTCTTTATAAGTACTTCTACAATATTATAATTTTATATCAAGTATTGTCGTTATATACTAATACAAGAATAATGTTCCAATTCACACGCCATGCACTGAATAAAGTCTACAGTGCCATATATTTAAAAACAAAGGTAGTATATAAATTCACGAAAATGCACATGAAGGGGCTGAGGAGACACCATTACAAAATATACACACACTTTGATTTACTGTGGCTATGGAAAAACAGATAAGATACCTTCAATCCATTTATGAGTGCATAATATGATTTAGTAGATATGGAAAAATAGATCACATATATTGAATACTTTTTTCTCTAAGCAGTTTGCAGAATTTCCAGTTGCACAGTACTGATTGTACTAGCATGATTTACAAACTTGATGATCATCTCATATAACCTTTCGAAAATCTTGACTATTTCAGCAAGGAAATGTTTATGAATTTACTCTGTTAAGCATTTGCAGAACACCCATGGACAGAAGCTGCACGCCTGCACCAGCACCACATATTGCTCAAATTTCGGCTAATGACAGATGGCGAAAATGTGCATTTTTGTGGCACTATCATCTCATCAAACTCCAACATACCAACTCTTCTATGAGCATGAATACAGATTTCTGCCTCTGTTAACTCTTCAGAAACTGAAAGCATGTGAAAATTCACCTAAACATTTCCACTCGATGCGTATGACCAGTACTCCTTGACGAGCTCTCGGAAAAGAGAACCTTCTGTTTCCATGAGCTTCGTAGGTTTGTCATACTCCACCACTTTACCTGGAGGTGAATACAGTTTAGTATAGAACAATTAGCCGAAAAAATAGGCATTGTAAGTCTTTTTTTTCCTTTTGTTGTTGGTCAGTGTTCACTGTACGACGTTAATACAGAAAGTTAGAAGGGATACATTGTTGGGAAAATGCAAAAAAGTTAAAAGCATCACACATCAGTGAAAATTGGGGAAGCAGAATTATCCACGCAGTTTCAACTTTCAAGTATAATCCATATATTCCAGAATAAGTAGTGCTGATCCATTAGACAATGATCACAGGATAAATATATTTCTAATAAGTTGGCGGTAAGAAAGACGTACCATCGCTCATTGCAAGGACCATTGTGCAGTCCATAACTGTTGGTATACGGTGTGCAACAGTAATAACAGTGCAATCTTTGAACTCTGTTCTGATTGTTTTCTGAAGGATAGCATCAGTTGCATTGTCTATAGAGGCTGTCGCCTCATCAAGAACTAAGATACGGCATCGTCTCAAAAGTGCTCGTCCTAAACAGAAGAGCTGCCTTTGACCCATGCTCCAATTCGACCCATCTTCCACAACTATATGGCAATATCACAGTTAGCATATGAATAATGTAGCTTCATTATATCATGCTAGAATATGAGTATGGCAAAAGATATCTACGAAAAGAATGGTATATGCAGCCCCCAAAGTATTTCTAGCTACAATTTTTGTGATGTAAATGAAAAGACATATTTTGAAAAATACATTGGAAACAGAGGAAGAGGTTCTTTAGGCAACTCGAATCTCATTTACAAAGTCATTTTCCGTGACGATTCGGCAATAGTGCTAAAAGAGTGGAATTTCTAATTGGTTTTTTAAAGTTCCCTTCATGAACTCCAATATATATCACAAGTGTGTTTTCAGCATTTTTAGTATTGACTGCGAGGATGTGCTCAGTGCTATGGATGTTTTTGAAAAAGAGTCTGGGACTAATATTGGTTCCAGATTTTAGTGACATGTATTTTTCCCTCATGTGGCCAAGCTGTTAAGGAAGGACACAGAATGAATTCAAGAAATCAAAGTACATATGAAGCAATGTCCCCTACCAAGTGAATCCAATCCCTGTTCCTTCTCCTGGACAGTCTCAAGAAGTTGACATTTGTCAAGAACCTGCAAGAGACAATAGCAAACATAAGGAATGATTCCTATAAAGGCGTCCATATGCAAAAAAAGGACTAACTAAATCTGATGTAGACTTCCAAAGCCTTTGGTTATTTAATCACATAAACTGAATAAATCGCCATTGTCAAGAAAAGTAAACGACTTCCATGATTTCAACAATACATCATGGTAAGCTTATCTAATCATTGATTACAATTAAAAAAAGTGAATAATTGTGTAGGGTACACATCTTACCTCCCATATCTGTTGATCTGAGAATTGCCCAAGGGGGTCTAGATTGTATCTTAAAGTACCCTGGAAAAGTGTTGGATCTTGTGGAATGATGCCCAACCGTGATCGCAGGTCATGTAAGCCTATTGTGGTGATGTCCACAGAATCTATGATTATTTTCCCTCCAGCAGGTTCAACAAGACGAAACAAACCACCAATCAAAGTTGTCTTGCCACTTCCTGTCCGACCAACTATACCAATCTTATGTCCACCTTCAAATGTGCAAGTAATTCCATGCAGTACAAGGGGAGCATCTTGCCTGTACTTAATCTGTTGAATGAAAGTCAGTAGCATAAAAACTTGTTAGGACTCTAAAATGGTTTCACCTTGTACGCCAACCATACATGAAAATACATTTACCTTCAAATCTCTAAGCTCCACCTTGCCAACTTGGGGCCAATCTGGTGCTGGCCGATTTTCTTTGATAACTTCTGCTGCTTCACTTGTAATGTCCATGTACTGGTTAACCCTTTCCACAGAAATGATTTGATTCGCAAGGTTGCATTGGTTTTGAATAGAGAAAACTAAAGACATGTTCAGGGATAGACCATAGGATAATGCCATTCCTACAAAACCTGCACAAGCACGAATAGAAGCGATTAGCAATTAACATTTTGGGTGGCAATATCAATTTATTCATAACATGAATTAACAAAACAGATCATCCTGCCCAACAGACTTACAGTTACAGACATGCAACAAATGGATTTTTTTTTCTTGTGATTCAGCAGTGCCAAGTACTAGTAGGATAATTGTATAGAAATAGCTTGCAGTTTCATAAAAGTAGTAATTCTACTCATGACCCAGCATTATCAAAAGATAGTAAAGGATTGACTTTTATATGACTAGATTTTACTATTTCGGTATGCTCTGGCCTCTGGAGACCTAGCAATACGTTCTTTGCAGAACTGCAGTAAAACTAGCGATTTCATGCAAATCAGACAAGAATGGCATCAATGAAAATAGAACCCTCTGGCTACTTTAAGTCTGTCCAATATATGAAATTATGTAATGATGCTTGCAATTACCATAAACTGCTTACCAGGGCTAAAAGTTCCTGGAGGAAGAATCACCATGACAAGAGCAGAAAAGGAAAGAACTGCAGCACTCATTAGTTCCAGGCGTTGAATCAACCATTCAGTTGCAGCAAAATTGTAGAAGCATGGGCCAGCATTCTTGTCCACAAGCTCCAAATTTTTAGCAAAGAAACGATCTTCTTCCTCAAAGGCCCTTATTGTTATGGCCCCTGAAATCGATTCACCTAAGTGATTAGCTAGAGAAGATTTGGTAGTACCATTGATCCGCATCAATTCCTTAGCCGAAGCTAAATAGTACCTCTGCATAACCAAAAATTAATAGACTTCAGTAGACAGGAAGTTTGAACAGAAAACGGTAAATGAAAGGAGCAGCAGACCACATCAATTAGTAAATGAAATAACCCAGCATCTGTAACCATATAGAATAAAAACCACATAATATTACCTGCAACCTGATTACCAAAACTATCATTGGCACCGAAATAAACAAAACTTGCCATGTAATAACAGCCAATACCCCCAGATTGCTGTATGCATTTAAGCTGGCGCTAATGCTAAACATGAAGAAGAATGGAACGTCAAGGTCAACAATACTCAGATCTGAAGAAACCTACATGAGAAAGCACCAATCGAAATTGTTCAAATGTAAATGGAACTGTAATATATCAGCTTTCCACTTTCACATATGTTTAGGAGTTCTTACCCGGCTCAATACCCTTCCTAGAGGAGTAGAATCAAAAAATGACATAGGTGCACGGAACAGTGAGTTAAGTAGCTGGGAAAATAAGGATCTTGAAGTCTGCATCCCAAGGACTACGATGGATAAAGACCTAGATAGCAAGAAGAACAATGTGCAAACTCCGATAGCAATATACACGACTATTAACTTCAGTGTACTAACACTAGGATTTTGGACATTAGCAGCCATCCATGAATTTTGTGATATTTGCCCACTTATGAAAATTATGTGGGAAATAACACAGATAGAGAGATATAAAAAGCCTTTGTTCTGGCGCAGGTACAGGATATAAGGCTTAAGACCTGTATCCCCTATTTCTCTCTCCTCTTTCTTTATCAGCTGATCTGCCGGCGATGGCTTCACAGATTCTCTATATCTGCTGCCATGAATATCATCTGTCTCCTCCATTGATATTTCCTTTTCTCTATGGAGGGGCATATTGTTAAGATCTGAAATTCCAATTGTATCTTTGTGGGCATTTACTAGGTCCTGAAATTCCTGGCAGTATTCCAATAGATCTTGATAAGGTGCTGACCGAATAATCTTTCCATCTGACATTAACTGCAATAACAAGCAATTCATTAGATAATGAACAAACAGTCCATTTTGATGAAATCAATAAACCAATGCAATTCATAAAAAAATTTGGATCCTGCAGGCACCGATATTATTTAAAATTCAATCCATTAATTCACCATTTTTGTGTTGTATTTTTTTCGAGAAATTTTCAGTACTTGAGAAAGTACCTAAGTTACCTAAATTTTATATTAAAATTTTTAATACCTTGAGATACTTAGTAATTGGAGGTACCAAATTTTACATTAGAAAATATGGTATCTCTCAATATCTTCTCAAGGATGGTAAAATTACCCCTTTTTTTCTTGTCTAATAGTGGAAGGGGAACTACTTCCATTTCTATTCCGTATATTAATTTGATTAAATAGACAATTATTTGATTGTCACTAATAGGAATGAAAAACAGTAATATTTAAGTATGAAAACTTGCTTCTGAAAAATGTGTGCATATGCGCAAAAGGACAAGAGGGCGAGATTAGGATAACATGTGTAACAAACCAGAATAGAATCAAATACGGGTAGGAAATCCACTTGGTGGGTCACTAGAAGAACAGTCTTGTCTGACAGAGCTCCCATGACATATTCCTACCAAAAAAAAGTTTTGAAAAACAGTCATGGTCAAATAGCACTGAAATACACATTTGTTATGAATTTGTGATCTTTACATTAAACAGACTTGATGCTGTATGGGCATCAACAGCACTGAAAGGATCATCAAGAAGATAGATGTCTGCATTTTGGTATAGTGCACGAGCAAGCTGAACACGTTGCTTCTGACCACCACTAAGATTTACTCCTCTCTCCCCAATTTGAGTAGAGTCTCCATGTGGCAACATTGCAAGGTCCTTTTCCAAAGAGCACTTCTCAAGTGTTTCTTTGTATCTTTGCTCATCCATCAAAGATCCAAAGAGAATATTTTCTTGCACAGTTCCTGTTTGGATCCATGCATTCTGAGAAACATATGCTATTTTCCCACAAACTTGAATCTGAAATAAAAAAAGGTTGGTACTAAATATAAGTAGTTTCATCGAAAAAGGAACTAATTAACACACTTCAAGTTGGCAACTATTATCAAGCAAAATTATCTTACTTTGCAGAACCTATTTTTGAAAACCCCCAAAATTTGGGTGTATATATTAAAAAGGAGCATTATACAAGAACCAGAAACAGTTCAGAACCTATCTGATGCAGTTTATTGCCATGCTGTATTTTTAGAACGAATAGGAAAAGTAAACTATGGTTGTCAACTGCATGTAACTAGCATCTCTCATTTTTAGGCAATAAAATTTGGTATGATGGCAATTTATACCTTCAACAGGACTAAAGTATGTAGATATTACAGAATTTGCAGACATATACTCCCTCCATTCCAAATTGATCTACATATAGTTTTTTTGAGGTTATTCCTAAATGATCATCATATTTGTGTTCATTCATTAAGTCTATTCGTTATTTGTGCATTTGAGTAAATGGGCATTGATGCATGCATCCATGCACACAAGTATTTATAACCCACATGTAATATCTTGATTTGCTATTGGCTAAGAAATAGTGGGGATGGTGCATGCATCGAGTTTGTTGTTAGAGTAAATATAGTATGAGAGTTATTAGCTTTTCTTGGTCTTGGTGTACCTATGAAATATGTAGATAAATTTGGAATGGAGGGAGTAAGTGATAAGTAGGGATTTAATCAAAGTGCCTTTTAGGAAGCGAAGTGCCAACAATTATACTGGCCATGATTCCTCTTAGACAATGAATAATACAACCCAGAAGGAACAACAAAAGCATAGCATGAACTTGCTACTTGACAGCTGTATGATTCTTGATTTCATAATAATCAAGATAACCAAAGGAAACTTACTGTGCCTTCGGTCTTTGGGACCTCTCCAAGTACTGAAGCTAAAAGTGTTGATTTTCCTGATCCTACCTCGCCACAGATTGCAACTTTCTCCCCAGATTTGACCACTAAATTTATATTCCTCAGAGTATGTTTCGACGGGTTCTCATCCCACGAGAAGCTGCAGGAGTTTAGCGCAATGGGATACTCAGTACCCGCTATATATTTCTTCCTGCATTGCCCATTCAGCTCAGGAGCATCAAGAAATTTTACAACCCGGGTGAAAGCAACTTTAGCTTGAATCACAACTCCAATAACATCTGGTATCTGTCTGATTGGATCTTGCACGAGACGTAGAGTTGCCACAAAGGTGAATACATTGCTAGCATTCAGAGGAACTCTTAAAAGATAGCAAGTCAGAAATGTTGCTGCTGAAACCAGAACTGGTGATGACCAAAACAGGAAACTGTTGTATGCCTTCCTAAGGTTGAATGCTGACAGCCACTTGTACTCAACCTCCCTCAACCCCTCAATGACCTTCTTGAAATGATTTTCCCAAGCATATAATTTCAAGACCTTCATATGAACTAAAGACTCAGACATGGCCTTCAATCTCACATCTTGTGCTTCCATAAGTTTACTCTGGTACTTGTGTTGCAGTTTTGCCAGTGGAGCATTGCAGAGTACAGTAATAATGATGACAACCAACGACGATACCGTCGCAAGTCCAACTGCATTGTAAAGGATTGCCAGAGCAATGCAGAGCTGGACACTTGTTGTCCAAATTTGGTGGAACCAATACGGGAATTCCCCAATGCGGTAGGCATCGACAGTCACATAGTTCATTATTTCTCCAGAAGAGTGCTTCATTTTTGCTGAGTTTGATAGCTTCTGTTGCTTCTTGTAAATAGCTGCTGACAGGAATGACCTCACCTGGAGGCCTAACCTCCGAGTGCGGAAATACCACTGTCTCTGAGCCAAAGATTCACAGAATTTGCAAACGAACATTGTCACAGCTAGCACAATTCCTTCATATTTGAAGGTCCCTTCCCCCAGCGATACATTGATGAGTGCCTTGAGAAGCAATGGGCCTGAGGATAAGGTAACAACCTTGAGCAATGCAAAGAAGCCTGAGATCAGAATCCCACTCTTATGGCAAGAAACAATGGTCCAAAATACTGATGGTGTGGCATGTGACTGCAACTGCTTCTTTCTATTCATCATCTCCAAGAACATCAAGTACTGATTCTGCGCTCGATCAGTGGAGCCTAAAAGTGGCATGTCTTTCTCTTCGAGAGGCTTCGCGTAACCCATCTTCATCAAAGGGTTCAACCACCAAAATGACATCACACTGAAAAATCCAGCTTTAGCAAAAGGAGTTACATGACTCTCTGAATCAGCCGTCCCATGATCCCTCTCTGTATTCAGCGGCATGTATAAAGCATTTTCAGTTGTTTCATAACCCTCTTCATCACGGCTGTGCCGAATGGCATAAAGAAGAAGGATAAGGGCTCCAGGTAGCAAAAGAACATCTAAACAAGCTTTAATGGTGATCTCCTTCTCTCCAACCATGTAGACAACTGAACAGCAACAGATGAATGCTGCACATATGGTAAGCAAAAGCGACCAGAATCGAACAAATGTAGCTCCAAGAAATCGAGGTCTGATGCTAAAACTGAAACTAGTAAGGATCAAACTGAATCCTTGAGCCAAGATCACAAGCCACCAATGCGGCCGGTAAATGGAGGTTTCCTGATTGAAGCTAATCCCCACCATCCACAGTCCTAGGCCAAGATTAAGCAAACCCAAGCAGCCAGTGAACACTACAGCAGCCAACTGCAGCAGTGAATTGAATGCGACAAGCTGCCGCGCAGATGCTCTACTCTTTGGAATTTTCATGAGCAACTGATGTACAAGCGCAACAGTGAGCACTGCAACAATGGAAATCACCACCAGATGATTCACGCAAGTCGAAGAATCCAATGTTTCCTTCATAGCACATGAGACCACATCTTGCTCGGAGCAAATTGGGCTCCCACACAAGCTCATCGCCCAAGAACCTGAAAAATCATTACCCCCCAAAAAAATCAATGTTAGGCGGTGTTTAGTTCTTTGGCCAAATTATTTTTGAAGCATACGGACACACATTTGAAGTATTAAACAAAACAAATTACAGATTCCGCATGTAAACTGTGAGACGAATTTATTAAGCCTAATTAATTCGTCATTAGCAAATATTTACTGTAGAATCACATTGTCAAACCATGGCACAATTAAGCTTAAAATATTCGTCTCGCAATTTACATGCAAATTGTGCAATTAGTTTTTTTTTCGTCCACCTTTAATGCTCTATACATGTGTCCAAACGACACATTTGATGTGATATTTTTGGCCAAAATTTTTGGGATCTAAACACACCCTTAATAGGAAAGCTCAAAAAAAAATGTGACAGTCCAAAAGTGAAAAGGGCTCAATGATGAATCAATGATGCAACTGTCAAGCACGAGAGAATTGTGAGAAAACAACTAACTTATGAGGGAACCCATCTGTCCAATCTCTGTTGCACCGTCCGTTGAATCAGACAGCTTAAACCTGCAGCAAAGCAAACTAGTCAGAGCAAATAAGTGAAGAACATGGACTAGATAGGGACTTGTACTGCACAAGATTAGTACTAGTGTTTCGGGTGGCTATAGAAGCTCAAGATAACCACAGAAATTTCACTATACCCAGCACAAACATCACTATATCACCGAAAGAAAAAATCAAGAAACTTAAATAAGTCAGCAGAAGAAGAGAGAAAATGGTAATAAAGTCTAAGATTGCAATGTTTCTTCTTAATAAGTCAGCAGAAGAAGAGAGAGACCAAAAAAAAAAAAAAAAACTGTATGCATGAGTGTTCATCAACCAGCTACCTCAACAGTCAACACCATTCATTCACCGAGGAAAGGAAAGAAAATATTCAGGGACCAGTGATCCAAACGAGAAGAACAAATCGCAACCAAAATCGCATCGCCTAGGGGTAAAAAATCTCGTCCCCTCGACAAATCCCCAAGAACTCCCATAGGAATTAATCAAGACAATGCGATTGACGTTGTAGATTCACGATGCCCTCGAGCCCAGAGCAGCCGCACTGGAGAAGAAGGAGGAGGAGATCACGGGAGAAGCAGTAACCAACCAAAGATCAAAAAACCTTTTTACTCACCTTCTTTTTCAGCTCTCCAAAGCACGACTCCCCAAAAACAGCTTCTTTTCTTTTCTTTTCTTTTTCTTTTTTTCCCCTCCTTCCTGCGCCAACCAAACACCTTCCCAATCGTGGCCCCCTTCTTCCTCGCCGCCGTCGCACTCGTGTGTTGAGGCGAGCGAACAGCGGAGACGACGAGACGACGCGCTGGGCGCGCGCGCGCGCGGGTGGTGTTTATTATAGGTGGCGCGCGTCGCGTCGCGTCGCGGCGCGGCGCGGCGAGGCGGGTGGCGCGCGCTGGGCAGCGCGCGAACGAACGTGCGATGTCTCGACTCTCGACTTCGTCCCAGGTGGCGACGACGCCGACGTGCCGGTGCCGTGGCGTGGCCGCTGGTGGCGTCTCGCGCGCCATCCGTTTCACTGGCGCGCCCGGCACGTGTTCGACTCGTTGCTCCGTCCGCGCGAGCCAAGGTTGGCATACTCACGTTGCCGAAACAAGCCATAGGCCCTGTTTGGGCTTTTCCCAAAAGCCGCTTCTGCTAGAAACTGCCCCAAACAATTCATAACTTCTGAGAATATGTAGTTACAGATTTTAAAAAATGAACTAAGAAGCCAAAAGCTGGAGAAGCTGGGTTTCGGAGCTTTTCTAGATTCTCAGAAGCTGGCTACCAAACAGCTGTTTCTCAGAATCTAAAGCTCCCCCGAACAGGCCCATAATCTTATTAGCTAGCCTGCCTGACTAATAAAATCAAAGCCGCACTTTTACTATAAGAAAGCAAGTTTGCAATGCTTTAATGTGTTAATAATATATGGGACACACATCCTGATGAAGAAATTTTATCATTAATATGGCACGAACTAAATGAACGTCTAATTTAGTCAAACATGTCTCATTTTAGATGTGGTACAGTAAGGTAAATTGTGGTAGTGCACCAAACAGGCTCTAGTCACCTAGTGTGAATAGGTGACTCTGGTCAAACGCTGCTCTTCTTTAAGACAAAAGAAAATGCGCACTGGTTTTTCTTATTAGCAGTTTAGCACATCTCTGCGAGATTCGTGGTGTCTTGAAATTGATCGACAAATACACTCTATCATTCTTACTAGGAGTTATCGTGATATTAACAAAGTCAATATATATATATGTATATATATATTACTGATAAATATATCTGTTTTACTAAACAATAATTTATTATAAATACGAACATCCGTGTCAAATTGACCATACCATAAATAAAGTTAAGTATGTTCGATCAAGTTACTTATCGTTTGATCACGTGTTATAGATTTCTTCATTATTACATGAGCTTTGTATCTCGTTGTAAACTTACTCTCTTCTAGCTAATATATGGCTTTTAATTTTATTAGTCACATGTTAGTAAAAAAAAGTATGGTGAATTTTGACGATTTGAGTATGCCAATCAAACTAATACTCACCAACGAGCTTGATTCCCAATTCCACGTAAAGTTCTTTAGGTGATTATATATGTATATAGATCGACCGAGTTCATGATTAGTACTAGTGTTTAGTAAATAAATTTACTAAGGGCATGTTCAAATTGTTTTCAAAATAAACCTTATTAAATTTTAGCAAGTTGACATATTACTAAAATAGGATTTTTTTCATGCATTTACCAAAATTGGCAACAAGCTAAACGTAGACATTTTTTTAACAACTTTTTTAAAAAATGGTATAATTAAAAATGGTATCATTCTGAACAACCCCTAACGTTACTTCATAAATAGAACTCTCTTGATCAACCACCACTACTCCATAAGTAGAACTCTCTTGATCAACCACCACATGTCATACCATATACTCCCTCCGTCCCATAAAAAACGAATATATAGAACTGAATATGATATATCATAGTACAATAAATCTGGACATATATATGTCTAAATTCGTAGTATTGGTTTTTTATAGGACCTAAAAAGAGTAGCCACTGGTGCGACTGCAGAGCAGAGAGGCAGAGTGGTCACCGGCGCAACGCCGTGCATTCATCAGCGCCACTAGTGCGAGTGTGCGACTGCAGAGAGCCAGAGCGATGATGATGGTGATTGGCCCTCAATAGTCCCAAGATGAGACCGTTTTAAAGTTTCCGGATCCATCTCAAGATCCTAGTATTTAGTTTATGAATTAAATGAAACGTAATAGCACATGACCTCACTGCTGCCTTCACCCAAATTATTTGTTTGCAATTACTCCTACTTGCAAGGAGTGGTGGAACGTATACATCTATGTTTCTATTCGGAACAAATACGAATTACTCCCTCCGTTTCAAAATGGTTGGTATCGTTGACGTTTTAGCACATGTTTGACTGTTCGTCTTAATAAAAAAAATTTGCGAAATATGTAAAACTATATGTGTACATAAAAGTATATTTAACAATGAATCAAATGATATAAAAAGAATAAATAGTTACTTAATTTTTTTAATAAGACGAATGGTTAAACACGTACTAAAAAGTCAACGGTGTCAAATATTTTGAAACGGATGGAGTACCTCTCTAAACTATCACGGTTGCTCGATTTACCCCCCTCCCCTAACTATAAAACCAGACATTTTACACCCTCAATTGTTTATATTGGACAAATAACCCCCCTAAACACTGTTTTGAGCGGTTTTAACTGGAGCGTGCACATGTGACGCCAACGTGGAGATACAGTCAACAAAAAAAATTAAAAAAAAACACTTCCCTGGACCCACCTGTCATACCCCTCCCTTAACCCAATCCTTCCCCACCATTCTCTCTGGCGCGCACACATACTCGGGTGGCTGGCTATGGAGGAGAAGGCGGACCGGGCGGCCGGCGGTGGACGGCTAAGGAGGAGCTCGCCCGCGCGGCTGAGGAGGTGGACTAGTGTAACGACCCACCTCTCCTAGGCCGGGCCCGCTTACATTTGATAGCTTTCATAGGTCGGTCCGATGGCAGAGGCGGAGATCGCCCGCGCGGCTGAGGAGGTGGACTAGTGTAACGACCCGCCTCTCCTAGGCTGGGCCCGCTTACATCGCGGACCGGGCGGCCGGCGGTGGACGGCTAAGGAGGAGCTCGCCCGCGCGGCTGAGGAGGTGGACTAGTGTAACGACCCACCTCTCCTAGGCCGGGCCCGCTTACATCTGATAGCTTTCATAGGTCAATCCGATGGCAGAGGCGGAGATCGCCCGCGCGGCTGAGGAGGTGGACTAGTGTAACGACCCGCCTCTCCTAGGCTGGGCCCGCTTACATCTGATAGCTTTCATAGGTCATAGACTGTCCTCACATACCAACACAAGAGGTAGACTAGTGTAACGACCCACCTCTCCTAGGCTGGGCCCGCTTACATCTGATAGCTTTCATAGGTCATAGACTGTCCTCACATACCAACACAAGTCTTTTCTGCACACTTTGTCCTCACTCGTGTGCACCCGGGAAGAATTTCCCGGTCCTCACATACCAACACAAGAGGTGGACTAGTGTAACGACCCACCTCTCCTAGGCTGGGCCCGCTTACATCTGATAGCTTTCATAGGTCATAGACACACTTTGTCCTCACTCGTGTGCACCTGGGAAGAATTTCCCGGTCCTCACATACCAACACAAGAGGTGGACTAGTGTAACGACCCACCTCTCCTAGGCTGGGCCCGCTTACATCTGATAGCTTTCATAGGTCATAGACTGTCCTCACATACCAACATAAGTCTTTTCTGCACACTTTGTCCTCACTCGTGTGCACCCGGGAAGAATTTCCCGGTCGGTCACCCATCCCGATATTGCTCCAGGCCAAGCACGCTTAACCTTAGAGTTATTTCGAGATCGGCTTCTGGAAAAGAAGTTGCAACTTATTGATATGAGTATTCTATTAATCCTATTAAGCCCTAGGCCGGGATGTCACAACTAGATGGCTGGCGGCAGAGGCAGAGAACACCCAGGCAGCGGGCGACTGAGGGGGAGCTCGCCCGGGAGGCCCGCGGCGAAGGCAGAGATCGCTCGGGCGGTGAGCGGCTGAGGTGAAGCTCACCCGGGCGCCCGGTGAAGGAGGCAGAGGCGGACCGAGCAGCCCTCCCCAACGCGCCTGCCACTTGCCCTCCCCCGCTGCGACCTTCTCCGTTCGGACCACCGCCGCGGCCTTCTCCGCCCGGACCACCATCGCCGCCGCACTACAGGAAAGGAGAGGGGGTGTGCTGGGAGACGGCGGCGGGCTTGTCGCCTCCTTCATGAGAGCTACGACTCCGCCACCACAGATCCCGACCGACGGCGCCGCGATGGTAGGTCCAGGCGGTGCCATCCACGCAGAGGCTCGAGGCGGAGCCGTTGACCCTCGAGGACCGCTGTTGCCTAGCCTTCTCGCTCATCGAGATCGATGTGCGAGACACGGCCGAGGGAGAGGATGTGGCGAGGACGCTGCCTTCCGCCGGGGATGTTGCCGCCGCCGCCGCCACCTAATGCACGTCATCTTCCTCCGCTGTCTCATGGTGGCCATCGTCGCCTTCCTCTGCCTCCTCACTGCTCCTGTTGTTGGGGGACAGAGAAACAGAGATAGAGAGAGTGCGATGGAAAGGAGAAGAGGTGGAAGAAGATGCTGACATGTGGAGCCCACCGATTTTTTTTCTGACTAGATTGCCACGTGTGTGCCACGTAGAATCAAAACTGCTTCGGGCTGATTCAGGGGGTGATTCATCCAATTTGTTAAGTTCGAGGTGTAAAATGTCTGGTTTTGTAGTTAAGGGGGGTAAATTGTACGACCGTGATAGTTCAGAGGGTAATTCGTACTTTTTCTTTTCTATTTTTAACCTTTTTTAATTTACTTCAAACAGTGTCAAGTCATTTTGGGCGTGTTTACTTGGCTGCTTCGGTTGCGACTTTTAGGGACTCTTGTTTAGAAGCTGTTTGGTTTATATGATTTATAAGTCAATAAATTTTAAGTCCTAAATTTAATGATGGAGTCATATCTCTACCTCACATAATGAGAAAAGCTTTTCCAACCTAGCTTTTGGCTTAATAGTGCTATAGTAGTTTGCGAAAAAAACTGCTTGTTTATTTAGTCCTAGATTTTTTGACTCATAAGCTAACTTATAAGCCTAAACAAAGAGTTTTGACGAATTTTGGTTAGTATGTTTTGGGGTTGATCATATGGAATGTGTTGGGCTTTGGGGTGAAGCCTTATCAATTTTTTTAGAGCTTTTAAGAGTGGAAGCTACGGGAATTACCAAAATTTGTAGGGTATCAATGATAAAATATATTTAGTTTGTTGTTCTAGGGTTGAAAATAATTACAAGGTAAATAGGCTCTTCGTGCGTAGCTTGTGGACAATGATTTCACTTGCAGTTGCACTTGGTTGTC